TGCCTCCCACGAAGCGCTCAGTTTAAAGTCGTTAGCTCGACTTTCCCGTCAAATCATAATCAACCGGGCAAGGTTTGACGAGCTCCTCCCATCTCATCGTGCTCGTCAAAGAAAACACTCGCCCATTTACTTTTCGGGGGCACCGGGGCATGCTTCCTCAACTTATCATCACAATTCACCCCTCCCGGTTTAGTACCTCCACTCTTGGGCTTCTTTTTCGACCCTTTCTTGTCCGGTTTCGATCCACCACCATCCCCAACATCACTCTTCTTCACATCCTCAAATTTCTCTCCAACTCCAACATTCTCATACAAACCCGACTCAACTACCTTCTTCTTGTCATCAATACCATTGCAATTAACAAAATGAGAGAGAGTGTCGGGATGTACCTCTTTGTCCATGTCGTCCATAATAAGCATTGGCCAACTTTGGGTAGAGACTCTCGAGCATTGTTCATCGTGAAGGTGACCGTCTCTCCATGAGCCGAAAGGGTGACTCGTCCATCCTTGACATCGATAAGGGTGTTGGTCGTCGCCATGAAGGGTCGTCCAAGCAAAATTGTGTGCTCCTTCCCGGTATTCGGGACATCCCCAACGTCAAGGACCACGAAATCCACCGGAACGACAATGGACCCAACTTTTACCAACACATCTTCAATAATACCCTTTGGTTCCCTCAATGTTCGATCCGCTAGTTGTAGGCTCATCCTTGTCGGTTTTAGCCTTTGCAATCTCAATTGTTTGTAAATCGAGTAGGGCATGAGATTGATACCGGCCCCCAAATCTAACATCCCGGTCGTCGCCTTACCATTCCCGAAGGCTATCCTCATCACAAAAGCTCCCGGATCGCACTCTTTCCGAGGTATAGTGGTAGAGGCTACCTCGGAAATCATGACTTTCTCATTGTCCCCAAACCTCCTCTTTTTCGATGCTAGATCCTTGAAAAATTGCACGTATGCCGGGACATTCTTGATAACGTCTAAAAGTGGGAGATTGACGTTTACCTTCGAGAGCATGTTAAAGAGGTCCTTGAATTGGTGCTCCTTCTTTGTATTTTCCAAACGGCTCGGGTAGGGGACCGGCGGCTTATAAGGTGTAGCCGACTTGTGTAAACCCTCACGTGCATCCATCTTCGACTTTTCCTTCTCGATCCCCTCATCAACAATAACTTTACCCTCCGAGACCTCAACCTCCTCAATCGGTTCATCCTCATCCTCGACAAGAGTCTCCTCCACCTCATTCTCCTTAGGCATCTCTACATGGTTATCAACCTTTTTGCCACTCCTCAACACCGTAATGGCATTCACATGCTCAGGTTGGCTCGGGAGCTTGTCCTTCATCTTGCTCCTTTGCATTTCGCCGATTGAAGTCCCGAGTTGCCCCACTTGAGTCTCGAGGCATTTGAGGGAAGTTTGGATTGAAGGTACGCCCTTGACCGCATCATGGAGAGTGGACACGGTCGATGCAAGGCTTTGAAGGTACTTTTCCATATTGTCGATTCGAACGTCCGAGGGATTTGCCTTAGTCTCATTTTCGGGCTCCGGTTAAGGTGGCATTGGTTGCCTTGGAACAAATCCTCCTCGTGGTTGTTAGAATCCTTGAAACTCGGGCCTCGGTTGGTGGCCTTGGGATTCTGGTCTCGGTTGATATGGTCGGTTTTGAGGCGGGGCATAGGCTTGAGGGGGTGCATAGGCTTGTGGTGGTGCCGGTTGAGGTGGATAGTTCGCCTTCGGGTCCCTCCAAGAGAAGTTAGGGTATTCCTCCACCCGGCATTGTAAGTGTTCGAATATGGATCATTTTGAGCCCGGGGAACATACCCTTGCGTGGCATTGACATCAAAAGGGACCGTCACAACATTCAGGTCATAAACCGGCTCCATATAACGTGGACACTCATGCCCTCCGTGCCCCGTCTCTCCACAACAACCACACACCTCCGCCATAACTACTTGAGTTGACTTGGCATCACGTAGACGAAGGTGTTTGAGTTCCTCCTCCAATGAGGCTAACTTAGCCAAAACGGCATCATTAGTCGACCCGGACGATTGTGTAGCCTCATTCACGGGAGCCCTCTTGCGTACACTTTTCCGCTGGGAGTTCTCGCTCAACATTTCATACAACTCATAGATCTCTTCGGCCGTGTGACTCCCGATATCTCCCCCGGCCGCATGGTCCACCATGTAATGGAGAGTATGGCAGAGCCCATCATAGAAGAATTGATTCAACACGCCCAAGAAAAAATGATGGTTTGGGCATTGGAGTTGATAGCCCTTGAAACGCTCCCATGCTTCGTGAAAAGTCTCGCCCGGGTTTTGGCTAAAGCTAGCCATTTGTGCTCGGAGATCGGTTGTCTTTTGATGCGAATAGTACTTGCCCATGAACTTCTCGTAAACGGCTTCCCACGTGTTGAGTGAGTTTGGAAGCAATGTCATGAACCAAGTCTTGGCCCGATCTTTCAAGGTATAGGGGAAACATCTCATGCGAAGTTGGTTTTCGGTTAAGCCTTGGAGAGGGAAGGTATTGACCGTGGAGTAGAAGTCTCGGATGAAATTGAGGGCATCTTCTTGTGCAAGGCCATAGAATGAGGAAAGTTGGTTGAGGTGGATCGTCTTGAGGTCATAGTTTCGGGCCGCCTCCCCAAGCACAAGGCACGAAGTGTTGTCTCCAATGATCGGTCGTGCAAAGTACCTCATGTTTTGGGGTGGTTGTGGCAATTGGTCTCCTTGTCCCGCCATTGGTTCGGTTTCGGGCTCGGGTTCTGGTTGTGGTTCGTCTATGTTGAGCTCAACGAAAAGATTTAACGGTGGAGTCTCCTCTCGGATTGCTTTCTTCCGTCTACCTCGCATAAACACAACCAACAACTATACTCGTGAATGCACCAATGGGAAACAAGAGCAAATCACACTCAATAAACACAAACTATTCACAAAAGCAAGAGAAATCAAGAGAAATACGGAAATTAAGCAAGGTTCACAAAAATCAAGAGAAACACGAGAAAATGGGACAATCAAGTAATAAACTAGGCGTCCTACTTGCCTTCCCCGGCAAGGGCACCATTTTGTTTGTAGTATTTTGAGGGTAGTTGGTAACCGAGCTACCCGACCTCGAGTCGTTCTCAAAGGAAGACGGTTCGGAGCTTTGTTCACCACTCAATTGTCCAAATCACACAAAATGAGAAAATAAAAACTAAACATGCTAATCAATGGGTTGGAGAGTGAAATAATGCTAATCGATGCTTGGAATTGAAAGCAACAAACAAACTAGAGAATTAAGCAATTAACACTACCGGAGTCTCTAAGCCATCAACATCAAACGAATCAACAACGAGAAGTATGCAAGTCCTAACACTAGGTCACTAATCCCAACCTTCTAACCTAAGTGATTAAGCTCTAAATAGAGTCCTAATCCTTAATCTAGATAGGCAAGCAATTAGTCTCTACTAAAACAAGCATGAGCAATGATCAAGTCCAAGCATATCCTCCATCATCAAACAAACACTCAGATTTACCTTGAAAAATTCCATAAGTAAAAATGAGGCAAAAATCGAAGTAATGAGCTTTAAAAGTAAATACCCAATCTTCTATTGCGTGCTAGACGAAAATCGGAGTCAAAAGCTCGGAACTTGAACAAAATAAAAATTGCCGGAAAATGAGGTCATAGAGCTCCCAAGAGAGAGAAGAGAGAAAACTAAAAAGAAAATAGCTATTCTCAAAGTGGGAAAGTGAAAAATGAAATCTAGATGATGCAATAACAAAGGTCCAAAATATATTTATAGTGCAGCTCAAAACACACACTAGATTCACGCACATTAAATGAAAAACACTCTCGAGCTGGAGGAAATTTTCGCTGGTCGCGGACACGGATGGCACGGGGTGCGGCACGAGGTCGGCGCGAGCATGGTACGAGGTGGCGCGGGCGAAAACAATACTCTCGAGCTGGCGGGAGTTCTCGCGCGCGCGGACGGTGCTGGACGAAGATGCTCTCGACCTGGCGGCGGCTTTCGCGGGCGCGGACAGCAAGGAGTTTGATACTCTCGACCTGGCGGGAGTTCTCGCGCGCGCGGACGCAGGGAATGGTGGCACTCGCGCGTCTTGGGCGCGGGTCGAGGCGCGCGGTCGCGAATGGCCCTGGGCAGCAAGGGCGCAAGCCGGTGCGTGGGTCTGGACCCGGTCATGGTCCGAGACGGCTCGGGTGGTTCGGTTGGCTCGTTCGGGTTGGTCGGTTCGGCTCGGACGGCTCGGTCGGGTCATCTTCCCAAGCTCATCAAAATAGACCTAATCAATCACCAAAAAGACAAGAAAAGTACGCCGAACCACAAAAACACAAAACGAAAGAAAAAATGCACGAAACACGATAAAATGGACCGATTGACACTAAAACGAGCCTAAAAAGACTAAACTAAAACACATAAAACACACAAAAAAATAAGCACAAAAACACAATAAACACTAAGATGCTAAATATTGATTACAATTTTTGAGAGCTTTAATTTGAAATTATTTTTAATGAATGACCTATTTTTACATTTTAATTCTCAATTTCAGACCTAGCCTTGTACACACAGAAAACATTTCTCTATTTTAATTAATTACGCCTAAGATGCGAAATATTAATTACATTTTTTGAGAGTTTTAATTTGAAATTATTTTTAATGGAGGACATATTTTACATTTTAACTAAAATTTTGAAAAAACTGGAAATTAAACTTTGAAAATATGTAATCTAAATATTACATAGATGATAATCTAAACAATTACTAAAATTAGAAAATAAACAATTGAAAAAAAAATTATAAGATTAACTGTGGCTGGAATAATAAAATTTCATTTTATTGACCAAATTGTGAACAATCCAAACATTTCTGCAATACCAAACAAGGCTCAACAAAATGAAATAGACACCTCATGCATGAAGACAAATCCCAACTCCACTTTACCTTGCATGGAGAGAACATGTGGACCCGATTAATATATTGATTCAGCAGCCTTTGTCCATCGTTAGATTAGTTTTGGATAGAGCAGGATCCACCCTTCATTCCCTGTATAAATACATAATAGAAAAATTAGTTTTCTAGGTTTTCACAATTGTAAAACATTTTCTAGTCGTCACATCTTTCTCGAGAATGGAGAGTTTAATGTTGCAAGAGATCTGTGAAGCTTCCTTGATGATTATACTCGATTTCTTTCATGGTATCAGAGCAGGATCTTCCTATCTCTGACCACCCCTTTTCTTATCACCTTCTTTTGTTTCCTTCAATATCTTTATCATGAGTCAGCCTGATAATTCATTAGGAAGTGGTTCATCTATCATCATGTCTACAGCGGCTCAAGGTTCCTTGGTTCAACCAAGCAGTCAGCTAATCTCTACCAAACTAGATGAAACCAACTACCTGATCATATGGAAACAACAAGCTATAACAGCCATAAGAGGATATGGTGTAGAGGGGTACTGTTAACCCCGAGGATCTCCAATGGGTAAGGCAAGACCAACTCTTAGCCTCATGGTTGCTATCCTCTCTGAGTGAAGGAATCCTAGTCATGATGGTTGGTTTGAACTCAGCTCAAGGAATCTGGGAAACCATAGAAAATAATTTTGCTAGTCAATCCTCAGCAAGAATTATGCAGTATAAGTTAAAGCTACAAACTTTGAAGAAAACTGGGCTGTTCATGAGGGAATACCTGAGCAAGATAAAAAATCACTGTGATATCTTGGCCATAGATGGTGAAAGAGTGTCTGAGCAAAACCAAATCCTTCATGTTCTAACATGATTAGGGTCTGAGTATGATTTAGTTGTTGTGAATGTTACCTTTAGGTTCCCACCTCTTACTCTAGCTGAGGTACATGCTTTGCTGCTCACTTATGAGTCAAGATTGGAGATGAATCAAAGAAGCATAATCAACAATGAAGGGTCTCAGCCATATGCCAATGTGGTAACTCAAAACACACAAAGAGGCTACACTCAAAACTTCAGCCAAAACTTCAACCAAAGTAGAGGTGGAATTTTCCCAAACCAAGGAAATAGAGAAGGCAGAGGAAAAAGAGAAAGAGGCCGAGGAAGGAACCAACAAAATAGGCCTCAATGCCAAATTTGCCATGGAATGAATCACACAACAGACAAATGTTGGTATAGGTATGATGGAGGAACAAACAACCAACCTGCTGGTCAGCCTCAACAAGGGCCAAGAAGAAACATTAATCCTAGCCTAAATATGCTGCAAATGCATGGAAACAATGCCTACTCTGATGTAGGTTCTGAAACAAGCTGGTTCCCTGACACAGGAGCATCAAACCATGTGACAAATGAGCTAGAAAATCTAACTTTGGCATCTGAGTACACTGGGAACAACAAGCTGGTTATAGGAAATGGAGAAGGAACATAAATCTCACATTTTGGTAATTCTCTTATTCAAACTCATGATCAGTCAAAGAAAACTTATTACATGTGCTAAGAATCAGCATAAACTTAATTAGTGTGTCACAGTTTGCAAAGGATAACAATGTGTTCTTTGAGTTTCATCCACTTTTCTGTCTTGTTAAGGATCAGGGAACACAAGAGGTCCTTCTCAAGGGAACACTTAAGGAAGGACTATATCATTTTAGCATGCACTGTCTCAAAGAAGCAGCTCCACCTCAACCTTCCTTTCAATCAAGTGAAAACATTTCACAAAGTTCTAATTTGCAGCCTTTTTCTTATTTCTTAAAGTCAGGCAAATGTTTAAGCCTTGACCTGTGGCACCAAAGACTTGGTCACACTAATTATGACAATGTTAAAAGAGCTTTAAAGGCATGTAATTTGGATTATGAAGCAAATGATCAATCATATCTGTGTGGTTCTTGTGTTTTGGCTAAAAGTCATTCATTGCCTTTTGATGATTCTGAAACAGATTATTCTGATGCTTTTGAATTGATTCATACTGATGTTTGAGGGCCTTGTCATGTTAAAACAATAGGAGGTTATGCCTATTATGTCAGTTTTACTGTCACTATTCCAGGTTCTCATGGATATATCTGTTGAAAGCTAAATCTGATGTTCATGCTGCATTCTTAAGTTTCATGGCCTTAGTAGAAAATCAGTTTGGGAGGAAAATTAAGGTTGTTCAGAGTGATGGGGCAGGTGAGTTTCAATCTCTCTCAAAGGTGTTTCAAGAAAATGGAATACTTCATAGAATTTTTTGTGCTTATACACCGCAACAAAACGGTTTGGCATAAAAACAACAGACATTGTAAATATGGGACTGTCACTTATTGCTCAGTCTCAGTTACCCTTGTGTTACTGGGGAGATGCTTTCATCACTGCAACTTATCTCATAAATAGGATACCATGCAGACCCTTGAACTTTAAAATCCCTCTTGAAATCCTATATGGACATAAGCCTGATTATAGAAGATTAAGGGTCTTTGGGTGTTTGTGCTACCCTTACCTTAGGCCTTACAATAAACACAAGATGGAGTTCAGATCATTGGTAGGTGTTTTTCATGGATATAGTAATCAATACAAGGGCTATAAGGTGTTTCTGCCAGACAGAAGAATCATGATCAGCAGAAATGTTCTCTTCAATGAATCAATTTTTCCTTATGAGAAAGGTAACTTTCAAGAAAGTAAGAGAAACAATGCAAGAGGGTTCTTTAATCTTCTAAGCATTAGCTTTGATAAATGTTGACCATATTGATAGCAGAAAGTGTCATCAAAGGGGGACACACATTCCAGCAAATCAATCTGATCCAAACACCTTCAGTACCCCAGTGTCTCTTTAAGGTTCACAAAGGACTGGACAAATCAACACAAGAAGCAGGAGGAGTACAAGTGCACAAAGCTTGCATGGGTCAGTGAGTAGTCATTCCACTGCACCTTTAGTGGTCATGTTATCTATTAAGAACCATGAAGCTGAGGAAGGCACCAATCAGAATGATGGTCAAAGACACCCAAATGATCACAAGGGATAGAGCTGGAATCTATAAACCAAAGGCTTACACAATTTCCTTTGATAAAGAAAGTGAGCCTACTTCTCTAGAGCATGCTTTGAGTAAGAGCAATTGGGTGATAGCAATTCAAGAAGAGTTAAATCCCCTCACCAAGAACAAAATGGTACTTGGTTGAACTGCTTCAAGGAAAGAACATTGTAGGGTGTAAATGGGTTTTCAAGATAAAAAGGAAACCTGATGAAAGCACCCACAAGTACAAAGCCAGGCTAGTGGCACAAGGATATTCTCAAATCCCAGGCTTTGATTTTTCTGAGACTTTTAGTCCTGTGATTAAACACAACACAATAAGAATCTTTCTTACACTTGCAGTCAACTACTCATGGTGCATAAGGAAGATTGATGTTAGCAATGCCTTCTTAAATGGTGAGGTGAATGAGGTGATCTATATGAGACAACCACCAGGTTTTGAAGTCAAAGGGAAGGAAAACTTGGTCTGCAAATTAACCAAAGCTCTATATGGACTGAAGCAGACATCCAGGGGCCTGGTTTAGCAAGGTTAAAGGAGTGCTCAAGACTATGGGATTTAATGATTCAAAGGTTGATAGTTCCCTCTTTTTCAGAACTCAGAATGGGGGACATTTATTTGTCTTACTGTATGTTGATGACATTCTTGTCACGGGAACACACCACCATGAAATCAATGAGTTTGTTGATAAATTTGGAAAGATCTTTGCCATTAAAGATCTTGGAGAGATGGAGCATTTCCTTGGCATGCAGGTTAAAAGAACTGATGAGGGATTATTCTAGAATCAAACAAGCTATGTGAGAGACTTGTTGAAGAAAGTAAAAATGCAAGATGCTAAAACTCTGCCCACTCCTATGATTATTCTAGAATCAAACAAGCATGAAGGAGATCCTACAGTTGATGGGACTTTGTACAGAGTGTAGTGGGTGCACTTCAATATGTCACCAGTACAATGCCAGAATTGAGTTATTCAGTGAACAAAGTAAGTCAATATATGGCTTCTCCTTTAGATACTCATGGAAAACAGTAAAAAGAATACTTAGATATTTGGCTGGAACATTGGACTTTGGGTTGCAAATCAGAAAGGCATCTCATGGAAATGTGGTTGCCTTCTCAGTAGAATCTGGGGGGCTGTACAGATGATAGAAGGTCAGTGACAGGATACTGTATTTTCTTGGGAAGTAGCTTAATATCTTGGTCATCAAAGAAGCAATCCTCGGTTTCTAGATCAAGCACAAAATCAGAATACAAGAGTTTGGCTCATGCAGCATCTGAGGTAATGTGGATCTTTGCTCACAGAAATAGGCTTGAAGTTGAAGAAGAGTCCAGTGATATGGGTTCAACCAAAGTACAGTTTTTCTTGCTTCAAACCCAATCATGCATGGAAGAACTAAACATGTGAGTTGGATTATCACTTTGTCAGAGAGAAAATAGCAAAAGGCTAGGGTTAATACATGTTCACCATATAGCCTCAGAACATATTTCACATGTGTTCACAAAACCTCTCTCAAGGCAATTTTCACTCAGCTTAAAAGTAAACTTGGTGTAATGTCTAAGTCCTCGATCGAATTGAGGGGGAGTGTGAACAATCCAAACATTTCTGCAATACCAAACAAGGCTCAACAAAATGAAATATACACCTCATGCATGAAGACAAATCCCAACTCTACTTTACCTTGCATGGACACAACATGTGGACCCGATTAATATATTGATTCAACAGCCTTTTTCCATCGTTAGAGCAGGATCCACCCTTCATTCCCTATATAAATACATGATAGGAGAATTATTTTTCTAGGTTTTCACAATTGTAAAACATTTTCTAGCCGTCACATCTTTCTCGAGAATGGAGAGTTTAATGTTGCATGAGATCTGTGAAGATTCCTTGATGATTATACTCGATTTCTTTCATAACAAAAACGAAAATTATGTTTAATTTTTGTTTTCATTGTTTTAAACATTTATATTAAATTGATTAATTATTTTTTTAATCTGAATTTTCCAATAATATTATCATTATTACATATACGTGCAGACACAGGAGAATTACGAGAAAGTCATCGCAGAACTGAAAGAGGAAGCAAGAAGCATGCTAATAGATGCTAAAGGGAAAACAATCAGTGAGAGGTTAGCACTAATCGACACGCTCGAACGTTTGGGAGTCGGATATCATTTTGAGCAAGAGATTGAGGAGCAACTTGATGATATCATGAACAAGTTTAATTCCAGTAATGAAGATTATGACTTGTGCACCACCGCACGTTTTTTTCATCTACTAAGGCAACATCGTCATTTTGTCTCCTGCGTTAAGTCAACTATATCTCTAGCTTGTGTATATTTAAGAGTATGTAGTTTGTGATGCCTTTGATATATGAGAATATATTGGAACAGATGTTTTTGACAAGTTTGTTGAAAAAGACAACAACAAAATCAAAGAAACCCTTGGCAATGATGGTAAGGGATTACTAAGCTTATATGAAGCAGCCCACTTGAGAATCCGTGGAGAAGAAATTTTGGATGAAGTTGTGTCCTTCACAGTACGTCATCTTAAGCACATGGTACAGTCATTAAAGCCTGAACTCCAAGCCCAAGTGAAAACGGCTCTAGAGCGGCCGCTTCAGAGGGGCATTTCGAGAATGGAAGTTCGTCATTATATATCCTCTTACGAGAAAGACGACTCAAGGAATGAACAACTTCTGAAATTAGCCAAATTGGACTTCAATTACGTTCAGAATATCTACAAGGACGAGCTCTATCAACTCACGAGGTAGTCGTTAATTAATCATTAGAATCCAACTAGTATTCAATCCTATGCATAGAGCGAAACAAAAATTTATATATTATATGTACGCAAATGATAATTAAAAATTTAAATTAGATAAAGTGTGTATTATATTTTAAAATTTTGACTATATGTAAATTTATAATATAAATATAAATTATTTAACTTCCATATAAATTAGTTTTTTTTTTGTTATTGTATAAATATAATACAAAATAGGAATATTAGCTGTAAAATAATTTAATATTGTATATTCAAAAAATTTAAAATCTTGTAAAGCTGTTACAGAATAAAAAATTAATAACAATAAGGTTTTACTTGTGTAAAAAATTATAATTTTGACTATATGTAAATTTATAATATAAAATATAAATTATTTAACTTCCATATAAATACTTTTTTTTTGTTATTGTATAACTATAATACAAAATAGGAATATTAGCTGTAAAACAATTTAATATTGTATATTCAGAAAATTTAAAATCTTGTAAAGTTGTTACAGAATAAAAAATGGTTTTACTTGTGTAACTGTCATTTGACTGCTGATCATAAAGATTATTATTAAATGAAGTCCTATTTTTATTAATTGCTGGCTGAATAAATTTCATTGAAGTTTTCCAACAATTATATATATATATATAGGGTTGAAGTTCACATGAGAATGGTGCTTAGTGAAAGAAATGAGAATAAATCGTAACCATTAGATCGGATGATCTAATGGTTTAACAAAACCAAAATTATACATTTATTATGGGTAATGGGGTAATTCTCTAAAGGTGGACCCCATTGGCCCATTACATATTCACGCCAACTACCCCAACCAATGAATTCAACCGGTAAACCCACCCCCACCCCACCCCACACCAGACTTTCTCTCACACACTCACACACACCACACACACACAAAACACCCGTCACAGTCACGCCGGGAAATCTCGGCTACCGCCGGCCGCCAGTGGCCCGCCGTCCGCCTCCACCGACCTCCTCGCACACACCACACACACACACGCACAGACACACAGCCACACACACGACCACGCCGGAAGTTTTTCAGAAGCCTCCATCGCTCCTCAGCCGACATAACCACCACCGTCGCGGCTCCGCTTTTTTCCGATGTTGTTGCCGCCGCGGACATAACCACCACCGTCGCAGAAACCATAGTCAACGCCACATCCGTCGCCGTCGGTGCGAGACTGAGAACAATTCACGGCCAGCAAGCTCATGGTCGTTCATGGCGTCGATCGATGAAATAGTGTTGAGGTAGGCTTGCCGACGCATCCAATGCCGCCGGAACATGGTGGTTTGCAGGGTCCACACCAGTCGCGGTCGACCGGAGGCCATAGCTTGCCGGCGAGCCCGACTGGAGCGACCGCACAATGCCCTACATTTGGCGTCCGGTTGTGACCACACTGGCGTCGTCGGACGGCCTCCTCACGGCGGCGTCGCGGTCGAGATCGGCCCGGATATCAAAGCTCACCGACGAGAGGGACAGAAGAGCAGCGGCGGTGGGAGTTCCTGCAAAAGAGAAATTGAGATGCAAAATTAGGTTCAATTAGGGTTCAATTTGGGGATTTAGGGTTCAATTTAATTTTTGAAAATTAGGTAATGTTTAGGGACCTATTTATAATTTTTGAAATTTTTATTGTTTTTCTTTTTATTTCATGTGAACTATATGTTTTACTTTTACACAAAAATTTAATGAATGCATATTAATGAAAAGTTAAATGCACAATACTTAAAAAAATTATATGTAATTTGCTATTATGCATATTAAAAATGACATGTATTGCAAATTGCACTTTATTGATACACTAATTGCACATTAATAATTTTGACAATGCACATTATCATATCGAAATGACCCGCATGAAAAAATTAACAAGTACACTAATGCTATATTATGTCTGGATTTTATTTTTAAAATTTTGGATATTTTTTAAAATAACTAAAATAACACATTCAACTAAACTATAAAAATATATTACTTTTTTTTATGTATATACATAATGTATTTTGTAGAAAATAATAAAATATAAATTATTAAATAAAAATATTAACACAATAAATATATATTTTTATAAATTACACAATAAAAATATTAACACAATAATATCAACGAAACAATAACTACACTTCGAGTGCACATTAGTGTTGGTTGGATTGCACAATAGTGACTGTCAAGTTGCACTATAGTGACCAAAACTGACCAACTAAGTTTTTTTGAGTCCGAATATTATATTTTGTTTGGGTACACTTTTAAATTTTGTTGTTAGTTCGATTTGATGTTAGCTTTATATATATATGTATTATTTTTTTTAGACAATATATATGTATTTTTTAAAATAACAGAAACTATCAAAATATAAAACAAATATATTATTTTTGTTATTTATATATTTTAGGTCTTACAACAACAAAATAGTATAAAAATATTAAATAGAATATAAAACCCTAAGTATATTTTTATAATATAAATTATAATTTGTTTCAATTAATTATGTTAATTTGGTTGAACGATCAATTGAACCAAATAGTTCGTTCGATTTTAGTTTGGTTTTGAAAAAAATAAAAAGTTATTGCACTGCTAGTGCACAATAATGTTAAGCGGGTTGCACTTTAATGACTGTGATATTGCACGTTAATGACTATCAGGTTGCACTATAACATCTAAAATTGACTGAACTAAAATATTCGGTTTAATTTTTATATTTCAGTTTGATTATATGTTTTTTTTTAATTTTAAATAGGTCTTACAACAATAAAATAAAATAAAAATATTAAATAAAATATAAAACACTAAATATATTTTTTAAAATATAAATTATAATTTATTTAAATTAATTATGTTAATTCGGTCTACTTCATTTGATTGTGACAATTCCAGAGTTCAATGTGCACAATACCATCGGCCGACACCGAACACCATAATGATATACGAATTGCACATTGATAACGGTCGTGTTGCATTAGGACAAGAGTAAATATTTTTATAATACAAATAATCCTTTATTTTGGTTATACCGGTTAACCGTTATGTCGGTTCAGTATTAGTTTGTATTAGGACAAGAGTTCAGTATGTTCGCTTATTCGAATTTCAACACGGATATATCAATTTTGACATTTCAATCAATCAATACGACGAGACCAACTAATGACTAATCTAAACAAAGTGGCTTTTTGATAAATTTGTGAAATTTTATATTTATATGCATCAATAAATTTATGATTTCATAAAAATATGGTGTTATTTTTTAATGTGCAATCTCTTACACATTAATATGCAATGTCATACACATTAATGTGCACTTTACGTAACATTGTTGTGCAAGTACTAAATTTTTATTATATTACATATTGACCACAAATTTAATTAAAATACAACAAGATTTTACAATTTGCAATAAAGTCCCTAAACTATATCAAATTCTCATAAAAAAAAACCCCACAATTTGAAAAGGTGAACACCACAAATCACGTTCGTCGGAGTTCACTCTGGCCGGTTTCGTCAACGCCGCCTCCGCCGCCGTACTCGTCTCCCCAGTCCCGCTCAACCCACGCCGTCCTCAATAAAAAAAAAAAAGAAAAAAAAGAAAAATTAACATGAGTTGGAATCGCAGATGGCAGACTTGGTTTGTTGGCGACGACGGCGAGGATGAAGGTCTGTGTGTTGCCGGGGAATTCTGAATCGCGGACATCACCAGTCACGACGGCGATAGAGTTGGTGGTTGTGTGCCGGAGCCGGCTGGGGGAAGCCGCATCCGGCGAACCTATACAGGTGACGGGCTGGTTTCCGCCGTTGGTCGCGTCGTCTCCGGCGATTGGCTGCGGAGGCGCGGCGACGGTCCTCCGCCTCTGAGGAGGCGACGGGCCGTTTTTTGTGTGTGGAGATGTGTGTGTGTGTGTTTGTGTGTGTGGGTGGGTGGTGAAGAAATTGAGTGACGGGTAGGTGGGAGGGGGTAGGGTTAATGTGGGAGGTGGTGGGTCCCCTTGTTTGATACAAATATCTAAATTATCCTTAAGTAGTGGTAAAATTTATATATTTGACATTTATGTATCTATTTATTTACCATACTGCCATTAATGATTTATCATTATTTATTAAAGGTTGACTTGATCATGACCATTGGTATGATGTATCCAATGGTCCAAATTCATTCTTATTTCTTTCACTATCTACCATTCTCATGTGATCCTAACTCTATATATATATATATATAGATTATCTTTCGTCTCCAATATTACCAATATTAATTTTACAAAATATGTATTTGTTTAAAGGTGGTGGGACGAGTTGAACCCACATCTGCCGTACGCGAGAAACAGACTTGTCGAGGCGCATTTATGGTCAGTTTCTTCAAGTTTTGAACCTCAATATTCATTGGCCCGAGTCATAGGCACCAAGTTCATTCAAATGCTTACAGTTTTGGACGATACATATGACAATTATGCGACCGTTGAAGAAGGTGAAATTTTCACAGAGGTTGCGAAAAGGTGTGCATGACATCAACATATATGTATAAAGAAATGTTGTAGGTACATAATATTGTACATAGAGGTGTCCATAACACTAACATTAAGTGGGTCCTATCAAAAATAAAAAATCAAGTAGACCCACTCCATGTGAGTGCTATGTACATCTCTATGTACATTGGTTATGTACTTGTAGCATTTTTCATATGTATATAGTTAATTTTGTGATTCACATACAACTAAATAATACTACCGTATATGTAATTAATTATGTTGACCATTTTTTGTCAGGTGAAACATTGATGAGATTGATCGGCTTCCGGATTATATGAAGCCCCTCTATAGGTTTATTTTGAAATTGTTTGATCAATACGAAAGTGATGCAGCCAAACAAGAGAAGCAACCTTTTGCTCTGTCTTATGCCAAACAAACTGTAAGGAGTGTAAATAATAAATATACTAAAGAAAAAAATGAATTAATCCACTATGGAGCCAACTGTTGGCTTCATAGTAAAACCCTTGAAACTCTAGCTATTTTAATACGTACATTTGGTGAATTAAGAAAATTTGCTTAAGTAACTCTGGTTAAATCCATAATAAATGTGTGTAATTTTGAGTTCCAACTGAAAATTAATACCATTACTGATTGTGATATGTTTAGGTGGAAGAGATATGTAGGGCCCACACCCAAGGGCTCAAGTTTACTATGGGAGGGAAGATGGATTCGTTTGAGGACTTCGTTGTGAACTCAGTGGTGACGAGTATAGTGTACGTGGCTTGCGCTGCTGCTGTCCCGGGCTTGAAAATGGTGTCCAAGGAGACCATAGAGTGGCTCAAGAGCGAGCCCAAAATCATTCGGGCTGCGGCTATGGTTTGTCGATACTTGGACGACTTGGGCAGCCAAGAGGTAATTAATTAATTAATTAATTAAGCACCAAATATTAATTATCTAAAACATAAACACTTGCTACACCACGTGGAATCCTTTGATTCCGACAATTGGTCTTTCCCGGCTTCTGCGGGAAAAATGAAAGGCCAGTTGTCCCACAGGCTGAAAGATAGCTCACGACGACTTCCCCGTGTTTTTCACAGTTTCGAGTGTTAGCAAAAAGTCAGTAGTTAGAATTTCTTTTTTGACTTCACTGTGCTTCGTTTCTAAAGTTGGCCCAGCCATGGATCAAGCCAGAACCGGGTTGTTCTGTGGCCCAGTCGAGGCTCGTCCGTATATATCTATATATATTTGTTTTCGACATCAATTAAATGACAAGATATGTGAGAAAATTTGTTGATTCAATTGTGGAGTGGAGAGGGCTATAAAAAGTCACAAACTGGCTAAATTTCATTTTTAGTACCCTATGTTAGTCATTTTCTGGAAAAATGTCCATCATATAGGGCGTCATCAAGAATGAACCACTAAGTTGTCACTTTAATCAAAATTCGTACAATAGCCAACATAGTGTGCTAAAAATGACAACTAAAAATGATCAGTTTTAGTACACTATATTGGTTATTTTACGAATTTTGATTAAAATGGCAATTCAGTGGACCATTCTTGATGACGCCATATATGATGGTCTTTTTACGGAAAATGGCCAACATAGTGGACCATTTCTTAAATTTGACCTTACAAGACTGATAAGGAAACTCCTTAATTATAACTTGTCAAATATTCACATAATATATTACAAGATATATACAGATATGATAACAATTAACAAGTTAGTTTTTGTTGGAAGCGCGAGAGTCAGCAAGGCACACTCTTGACGGGATTGGATTTTTACGTAAGACATCATGGTTGGTCAATACAAGAGGCTCGGGACAAGTTTGTGGAGCTAGCTGAGGATGAATGGAAGGACTTGAATGCCGAATGGACAAGGGATGTTAAGAGTGAAGTTCCAAGAGAAATGGTGGAGGTAATTCTTGGCTATGCTCGGGCATCTGATGTCTTCTACAGGCACAGTAGGGATGGATATGCAAAATCTCATTACATGACACCAGAAGTTGATGCTCTCTTCATGGAATCCATGGCCTTCTGACAGAATTAATTTGCACGCGCTCATCAACAAAGGGCTCGTAATGTTATTTTCATTTCTTAATAAAATGCTATTAATTTGTTGTCTTGCTTGCGTGTTGCTTATGTATGGATATGAAAGCACCCATTTCAATTTCGTTTGTACGCGCGTGTAAGCCAAAACCTCATTTGTTGTGATTGTGTGTTGGAAAAATGCGTTGGCAATGTAATAATAATGTTGTTCACTGATGTGTTGGTTATGCTAATGTGTTGATATGAATGATTATATTTGCATACACATGCATTGTATATTAATATCGTCACGGGTGCTTTTGCAATCAAAGAAAGAATGATTTTTGGTTGTAAATTGAGATTTGGCATAAAGAAATGTCACATTACGGCTGATGCTTGAAGCTCTTTGTTTTTTTTCTGTTAGCAGAAAAAGAAAANAAAACAAATCGCCCATTGTACAGGAAAATAGCAAGCTGAAAAAGAATAGAGGAAAAAGAAAATACATCGTGACTCCCGGCAGCTGGAGATGTGTCCGATAATTTAATTAAATTAAATAAGAGCTGCTTTTGTGTTTCTATTTTCGGTAATCTATGTGTGCTACTGCTAGGCACTATTAGAGTAGCAACCCAAACAACTCCTAAGGCATAACCGTTTTTGGCATTTTGTAGCTCTTAGCTGTTCTGTACCTGCATGGAGCTCTGGCCACGTGCCAACTTCTTATTAGTTTTCCTTTTAGGGTTTATCCTTTGGACTGTAGTATATATATGCTGTAGCTTAGAGAAACCAGCAGCAATCAATTATCCAAAAGTTCCTTTTCATTCACATGCTTTTCTGAGCTTCTTTGTTGTTTGTGCTTTAATGGAGTGTTGCCATTTTCCAACATGGTATCAGAGCTCGGGTTCCTAGCCTGAGCCTGATTCACCAAAAACAGATCTCTTCATTTATTATTTTTTGTCTTCAATCCCTTTCTCTTTTCAGTCATGGCAGATTCATCCTCGAGTCAAACAAACATCTCTCTTTTAAACTCAGCCACACAAACCAATCTTATCCAACCTCATCACCAACTAGTATCCATAAAACTCACAGACAGCAACTATTTGCTATGGAAACAACAAGTCTATACAGCCATCAAAGGCTATGGACTCGAAAACTTTGTTTCCAAGGAGAGTTCCTCACCTCCTCAAACCACTGTATCTGAAGAAACATCTCAGATCCAAGTGAACCCAGATTATGTGACTTGGGTGAGGCAAGACCAGCTGCTAGCCTCTTGGCTTCTGTCCTCTCTCTCTGAAAATTTACTCATAATGATGGTCGGCAAGAACACATCACAAGAAATCTGGCAAGCCCTTGAGGCTAACTTCTCAGGCCAGTCAAAAGCTAGGCTTATGCAACACAAGCTGCAGTTGCAAACCCTTAAAAAGGGAACCTTACCCATGAGAGAGTTCCTTGGGCAGGTCAAAGCATGTTGTGATGCCTTAGGCACAGCTGGAGAGCCACTAAGTGAGCAAAATCACATCTTGCACATCCTAGGAGGATTGGGTGCTGAGTACAATGCTGTAGTGGTTGCAGTAACCACAAGGGTGGAACCATACTCACTGAATGAGGTGTATGCAATGCTCTTGAGTCTTGAAACCAGACTTGAGCTTTTCTCACAAGCTGCCACATCAACCATAAATATGGATGGCACTAGCCCCTCAGCACACCTAGTGAGCCACAACTTCAACAACACCCTGAACAAGAATCCTGGAAATCAAGGAAGAGGAAATTTCTCAGCTCCTAGAGGCAGAGGCAGGAATTCAAGAGGAAGAGGTGGTAGAGGTTTCAAAAACAACACAAGAGTTCCTTGCCAAGTCTGTGGGCTGTCAAACCACACAGCTGACAAATGTTACCACCGGTTTGATGCATCTTACCCAGGTCCAACAAACATGCAAGCTCACACAGCCACAACCCAGACCTTCAATGGAGGCACACCTCAACTCACTGGCAGCAGTGACACAGCCTCAGAACTAAGCTGGTTTGCAGATTCAGGGGCCTCAAACAAGCCCCTCGAGCTTGGTTCACTAAATTAAAGGCAGTTGTTCACAGTCTTGGTTTCATCCAATCCATCTCTGACAACTCTCTATATGTCAAGCACAGTGTCAAATCCACTATTTGGCTACTGGTATATATTGATGATATACTTGTCACAGGCAATAATGACAATGAGGTGCAGTCAACCATTGAAAAGCTCAGTCACTCATTTTCTCTAAAGGACTTGGGAGAAATTCATCATTTTCTAGGGATTGAGGTTACCAGATCTGACCATGGACTGTTTCTTTCTCAAACCAAGTACATTAAGGATCTTCTCTCTAAGATGCACATGATTGATGCCAAACCAGTTGCTACACCAATGGTAACTTCTCCTGCTTTATCAAAATCTACAGGCTCTCCACTGAAAGACATCTCTCACAATAGAAGTATTGTTGGCTCTTTGCAATATGCCACAATAACAAGACCTAACATTGCTTTCAGTGTAAATAAGGTCTGTCAGTACATGCAATCTCCTACTGATTCTCATCTAAAGGCTGTCAAGAGGATCCTTAGATATTTAGCAGGCACTCTCACTCATGGACTGCACTACACGAGACATTCCACTCCAATCTTAACTGGTTTTTCAGATTCTGACTGGGGAGGTGATCTTGATGATCGAAAATCCATCACTGGTCTCTGTATTTATCTTGGCAGACATCCTATTTCTTGGTGCTCTAAGAAACAAGCTTCCATTTCTTGCTCTAGCACAGAGGCTGAATACCGCAGCCTTGCTCATGCCTCTGCTGAACTCACTTGGCTCCAATCCCTCCTTGGTGAGCTGCATGTACCCATAGCACAATCTCCAGTCGTTTGGGTGGATAACCTTAGCACCATCTCTTTGGCCAGTAACCCGGTTTTGCATGCTCGTACCAAACACATTGAAATCGATCTTCACTTCATCAGACAACAGGTAGCTCGCAAGCTTCTTAAAGTTCATCATGTGCCATCACTTGATCAAGTAGCTGACATATTCACCAAACCGTTATCTAATCATTTCTACACGCGGCTGCAGTCTCTTTTACAAGTTTTACCCGCTTCCACGTTCGAATTGAGGGGGGATATTAGAGTAGCAACCCAAACAACTCCTAAGGCATAACCGTTTTTGGCATTTTGTAGCTCTTAGCTGTTCTGTACCTGCATGGAGCTCTGGCCACGTGCCAACTTCTTATTAGTTTTCCTTTTAGGGTTTATCCTTTGGACTGTAGTATATATATGCTGTAGCTTAGAGAAACCAGCAGCAATCAATTATCCAAAAGTTCCTTTTCATTTACATGCTTTTCTGAGCTTCTTTGTTGTTTGTGCTTTAATGGAGTGTTGCCATTTTCCAACAGGCACTAATAGTTTGGAAATGAAGTTTAGAATTGTCAATTCTAAAAGCAAATTTATACTATTACATAAAGTGGAATGATTTTGTAAAAAATTGTACGGACTAAAATATTTTTATATTTGATATATTTATAATGACAAAAATATAACAACAAATAAGTATCTCAATAAATAATTATTAAATTAAAATATTCCAATAAAATAGAATTTTACTGAACCTAAAACTCTTTCTAAGAAAAATATTGGCAATAGCATGTCAAGATGGGTGTGTTTATAATTATTATTATTATTATATTTGTTGTTTATAATTTCCTAGAGCCACCAAAAAATTGACAGCTTGATTATCTCTAGATATGCAATGAGTTGGTTTCTTCATGTGCCTATCTTCACCAAATGGCTATTATATTAATATTCAAATAAATATTGAATAATTAACATGACCTTCATGTTCTTCTAATTATAATTATAATAACTAGTGCATAGCTCGTGCGATTCACATGACACATATATTAGCTATAAAAACAATAAGGTTGGATCATCAATTTGTGAAAAAAATTAATAATATGGTTAAGAGTTAAAATTTGTTTTCATGTTTATGTTGACCAAAATATTATCAACATGAATCACGAAAAATCAAATTATAATATATTATAATGGATATCAATACAATTATTTCAGATGTTAATAAAATTATTCAAGAAAATAATCTTTTTGATCATATGTGATTTGAAAATGTGTATATAAATATAATTAATGCATACATTTAAAATGTTTCTAAATAATGTATGCATTAAAAATATTCAAGAAAAAATTTTCTGGCTACGCGGCTGCTAGAATCTATCTTTTATATACCTTAGAAATAGCGGAGGTTTTATTCCTACTTTTGTTGTAAATGTGAGTTGTATTTTTATTTTCTTGTATCCTTTGTATATTCTCTATTGTGTCTGTGTTGTTTCCTCCTTTAATAGAGTGCTTGTTTTGGTGGGTTTTGTGTTAGTTTTTATGTTCCCTTTGATAGTTCATGTAAATCCAAAGGGATGTGAGTGGAGCTTGTACCGGTTTTATTATTTATTTATATAATATTCATTGTTTTTGGCGAAAAATAAATAATACATTTCCAATTGCCTGCTGATTCAAAAAATCCAAAAATCAAATAAACAAACATGCAAGTGGAGATGGAGACGACGAAAATAATTTATTTAGCATGTTCTCATCTGCAAAGGTCATCTAAATATCTAATTGTGTTTACACTAATAGATTTGAGACCTCAATCCACGTTGTAAAGACAAATCTGATGATCTCTTGGGTTTCCATACTGTGACCAACAAAAATGGATGCAATTCCAAGCGTTGCACAAATTTCACTAGGAACTGCGGTTTCAATCTTTTGTATTGGGCTGTTTACTCTGTGGCTCATCAATGGATATCTCAAGAAAGGCTGGAAATTGAAGACATCTTCAGGCCTCACTCCTCCACCTGGTAACTTTTTGCTTAGTTTTGTTGTTAGTTGATCAAGTTGAGAGATCAATTGAAAAAACACAATCTTGTAGTTATTTGGATGAAGAAATTAAAGCACGGATCCTGTTTGTTAAAATGTTTAGTCATAAAGTTTGATGAATGGGACTCTGTCTTGTAATAACGAAATTTAATTAAATAGTTTTGCAAAAAAGACTCAGAAAATATATAGCTCCCATTGAGGTCCAAAGCTCTCAATTTAGCTGTTTGTAAATTTTGACTCTAACTGACTTTGAAACTTGATGCAGAAGATGCTTTTTGATGTATTCAATATATATGTTCATCATAAAACAAGAATATTTATTTCCTTAGATTTAATGAGGTGGTTGGATGAAGAAAAAATATGGTGGATTGAATGCAGAAATACCGGGCTTACCCGTGATTGGGAATTTACTGCAACTGAGAAACAAGAAACCTTACAAGACTTTTATTAGGTGGGCCGAGAAATATGGCCCAATATACTCTATTCGAATTGGCTCCAAGACAATTGTTGTGCTCAACTCTATTGATGTTGCCAAGGAGGTGAGCAAGGCAAACTTCATTTTTTTTTGGAGCTTACAAGAATTTCCATGTATGAATGGCCAGTCTTGACTTGTAATATGATTCCGTTTTTTTTTTTTTTTTTTTTTTCTAAACAGGCTATGGTGACTAGATTCTCATCAATCTCGACAAGAAAGCTTTCAAATGCAATAAAGATTATTTCTTGTGATAAAAACGTGATTTCAGTCTGTGATTATGGTGAATTTCATAAGACATTGAAGAGGCATATTATCAATAGTATGTTGGGACCTAATGCTCTGGTATTTATATGAACAGCGCCGTCTGGTTTTCTTTTCTCGCCAAATTATTGTAATATATCCTAAAGATGCAACTCACTCTACGTTGTTTATTATTATCTTCAGAAACAACATCAAATTCGCAGGGATACAATGATAGAAAACCTGTCGAAGCAATTGCAAGCTTGTCTGAAAGAAAATCCTCTGACAGCTGTAAATTTCAGAAAAATATTCCAGTCTGAACTTTTCGGACTGACATTAAAACAAGTAAGTGATTGTAAATAAGATACTGATATGGATGAAAAAAGTTTTGGCTGGTCAGTTGTGAACTAGTGAAATTTATTTTTGTTTACAGGTTTTTGGACAAGATGTGGAATCTATATATGTCGAAAAACTTCAAACAACATTGTCTAAGCAAAATATTTTCGAAATTTTAGTAGTCGACCCTATGAAAGGCCTCATTGAGGTAGACTGGAGGGATTTCTTCCCATATCTAAAATGGATACCAAACAAGTCTTTCGAGAATAATATCCAGCGAATGTATTCTCGTAGGGAGGCCGTGATGACCGTGCTCATCAACGAACAAAAAAAACGGATTTCTCGTGGGGAGGTACATTTGCGGCATTTCAATTTAGGTTTATCATTTATTGGACTGATTTTATTGTACAGTAAAACCTCTATATATCAATAATATTGGGACTGGAGGATTTTATTAATTTATAGAGATATTATTATATCGATAAATTAATAATTTATTAATTTAAAGAGATTTTAACGATAAAGAGATTTTAACGAATATGCACAGTTGACCTTCAAAGTTTCGAATTCTTTGAATAACTTTAAGTATACATGCATAGTTATTGATGAAAATTAAATGTACTAGTAGAATTCCATGAACATAAACTCACGTGGAAGTTGGAATAGTTTGTTTAAATTAATTAGTTTTGAAAAATACAAAAATATGATTCATTAGACTAACATATTGAATCATGGATAGAAGTCAGCACTATATATTTATCCATTGAAATTTTGGTAAATCACACACAAAAATAGCCACTCATCTAAAATGAATTAAAAAATCATCCATGACCAATCAACAACGAAATATGTTATGTGAGTATAAGAGAGATCAACCTGGATGCACTCAGAATGATTTGGTGAAATGGGTTGAATCTTCAAGTGCATCATATATATATATTGATTATTTTTAATAATTATTAATTTATAGTTTCGTCGGGACCGATATATATACATTGGGATCTCAAAAAAATTATTATCTTATAATTTTATTGATTGGGTCCCAAATTTTTACTGGTCCCAAGACAAATTATTAGTTTTAGCGAGGTTATTAATTTATCGAGTATTAATTTAACGAGGTTTTACTGTAATCACTTTATTATTCTTCTCAGGAAGTGAATTGTTACCTCGACTATTTGTTATCTGAAGAAAAAACATTATCCGAACAACAGAGGCTCGTGCTGCTATGGGAGGCCACATTCACATCATCAGATACTGTTTTGGTCACAACTGAGTGGGCCATGTTTGAACTTGCTAAAGATCCAGAACGACAGGTGAATGCACTTTTTTTTTCCTCGTTACATAATATATTAACAAGTTGATTGGAACATTCTTGATTTATTTTTCTTATTATTACAAGCAAATAGGATCGTCTGTATCGAGAAATTCAAAGTGTTTGTGGAAATGAAAAAATCATGGAGAAAAAGATAGGCGAACTTCCGTTCTTGTCCGCCGTTTTTCATGAGACTTTGAGAAAGTATAGTCCAGCTCCTATAATTCCTCCGAGATATGTTCACGAAGATACACAAATAGGAGGATATCATATTCGAGCAGGAACTGAGGTAACTATTGATATTCTATTTGTGAAGATATGCGTGTTCTATTTAGATATTTAATGTCCTTAATAAACGAAGAGAAATGTTATAGGTACATAATATTGTATATATAAGGGTATACATAACACTCACATTGTGTGGGACCTACCAAAAATAAAAAATCAAGTGGACTCCACTTCATGTGAGTGTTATGTATACCTCCATGTACATTTTATGTACTTGTAGCATTTTCCATAAAAGATAAGACAAGCTGATCTGGGTAACTTTACAATATACTGAATGTGGATAATCACAAAAATTTCACCTGAAGTTTCAAGTGATGCCAGAAAAGACAGAGAAAAATGTTTGGAAAATATAAAAGAAAAAAGTAAATTTGACGTTTTATTTAATTTTTCATCTTCGTTGGCTCTTTATTGAAAAATAAAAATAAGTAAATAGACATCTCAAAGGTGTCTTGTTACTATATATTCTTTTATTTTGCAGCCTTTAGATATATATCACTTTCTTTCTTGAAGGATTGCTAGTTGAGGTTAATTTTTCTTTCAGATTGCTATTAATATCTTCGGATGTAATACGGACAAGAAAGTATGGGAAAATCCTGAATGTTGGAACCCCGAGAGATTTCTTGATGAGAAATATGAAATGATAGATTTACACAAAACTATGGCTTTTGGAGCTGGGAAAAGGCTGTGCCCTGGGGCGTTAATGGCAATGCTGGTATCTTGCTTGACAATAGGTCGTTTAGTTCAGGACTTTGAATGGAGGCTTAAGGATGGAGAAGAAGAAAATGTTGATATGATCGGGTTGATAACTCAGAAGTCTCATCCATTGCAAGTTATTTTAAAGCCAAGAAATTGATTAAGCTCAATCATGGAATTTACTCGGCGCCAAGTCAAGTGTGGTTCAAACTTGAGATTTCAATTTTTTTTTTTTTCTTTTTTCTTGATACGTTATTAGAACCTCGGTGAAGCTATAATAGCTTCATGGATATTTCACTTGCTTATTCCTCTTTATGTTTATCATATTTTCAATATTTTTTTTATGAGCAGTCTCTATGCTTATAATGGTTTAATTGAAAAAGTGACATGTCTACCTTAATCGTTTTGTAGGTTTAATATTAATCTATTTATAAATATAGGCATTATATTTTTTATATCTATGTCAAAATATTTATATATACATCTATAGGATGACTTCCTGTGAGAACAGTTCTAAATGAACAAAAATAAGAACAAATTGCAGTAATAAGCTAGATAATCCAACGGTGAAAACGAAGTGAAAATTTATGTACTAGTATATCAGACATTTTCTACTTCATTCATATCATGTGGGACCTACCATCCCACATCACATATCTCTCCCTCCCACTCGCGCACCATAATACCTCTATCGCCGCCACCACCAAGTTCCCTGTGTCCCTCCTCCCGCCACAATCGCCCAACTCCCATCGTTGTTGCTCCACCTCCCACCGCACCAACCTTGTTCTGATCTCGCCTCTTCTTCATCATATTGTTGTATTCTTTTCCTTTGTACTCCAATCGTCCCCGCCGCCGTAACCAGCCGGAGACGAATCTAACCACATTTTATATCTAATTGAGTTATTAACCAAATAACTCAATTATATCGCTTCGATTTTAGTTTGAACGTGCGCATAAGAAAAAAATCTGCACTGCACAATGCAAAGTATTAATAAAAAAATGTACAATAGTGATTAACAGAATGAAAATATTAAATAAAAAATTATATACTAGATATATTTTTATTATATAGATAATTTGATTAATGCAAAATAATATTGATTGAAATAAACATTATTAAATTTTTCTAAAGTTGCAATTCACGTAAAAAATATTCACTCAATAGGCTACACAATAATGTTCGATGAAATGCACATAAGTGTCTGTGTTAACACACATTATTGATTTTTGTATTTAATAATTATGTATTTTTCAACCAAAATTAATATAAAGTATTAAATATAAATATTAACAAACTAAATATAATTTTATAATATAAATAATAATAATTTTGACAATAGGGTAATTCGTTTTACATATCGAATAAACCAATTATTTTGGGTCGATTCTAGTTTGATTTGGAGCAAATCATAAAAATGCTTGCGCTATGAGTGCACAATAGTGATAGACGAATTGCACATTAATGACTTACAAGTTGTACATCAACAACCGAAACCGACATACCTAAAATTTCGGTTCGAAATTTTATATTTCGGTTGTATTATCTGTTTTTAATTTTAAAACTCGGTTATTTCGATACAATGTCGGCTTTGTTTTTTAAATAACCGAACGACCGACCTATATACAAAAATATTATTTATTTTTTATGTAAAAATGTTAAAATACTAACTATATTTTGATTAGTTATAAATTTAACCTATGAACTCAATTATATAATATACTAAAATTTATAAAATTGCACTTAAGTCCCTATGTAATATCAAATTTTCGAACACCAACCCAGCTCTACTCCACTCTTCCGCCCCGCCTGTGACCTGTACTTCAAAATTTATGGGATCGCGGTCGTCGCTGCCGTAGGAGAAGACATAAACGGTCGCCTATGACCTGTTCATTTGTTTAGACAAAATCGCCATTAATTTAGCATTTAATTAATTAACCTACGATCGCTCTGTAATGCGATCTATTCGTTAATAGCTATAGTTACGCCGTACACTTGCGAGATAATTATAAATAGCGACCAGTGCCCAACCCTGGCCCTTTTTGCCAGACTTATTGATAAGTCTCGACAAATAAGGTCGCAGATTAGGCACAAGTCTATCAAGAGCTATGGCGAGTGCTTTTGGCTCACGACCATCCAAGAGAAAAATATGCACATGTTTGTGAAGAAGAAGTCAATATCTAAAAGTTCAAGTTGTTTCAAAGAAAATGTACTTTGCAACATTTTTTTTCATATTGATTGTCAAGTTGTTTTAAAGAAATGTACTTTGCACCGTCTATTTCTTACAGCTCACTGATAAAAAAAACAATTCAAAAACCAAATATATAAGCATACATGCAAGGGAGATGAGGACAACAAAAATAAAATGCTGGTCTGAACATAATTAGCATATTTTATTTTATTTTTTGGTACAATTAGCATATTTTATTTACCATGTTGTTATCCGCAAGGAGAATCTTTTGCGTATATATAATATAATAAAACACATAAGAGACCATAAATAACATTAACAAGGACGGATTTAATCATTATTGGGCTTCCAAGTACTGTGACCGACAAAAATGGATGCAATTCCAAGTGTTGACCAAATATCACTGGGAACTGTGGTTTCAGTATTTGGTATTGGGCTGTTTACTCTGTGGCTCATCAATGGATATCTCAAGAAAGGCTGGAAATTGAAGACATCTTCAGGCCTCACTCCTCCACCTGGTAACTTTTTTGCTTAGTTTTGTTGTTAATTGATCAAGTTGAGAGATCAATTGAAAAAACACAATCTTGTAGTTATTTGGATGAAGGAATTAAAGCATGGATCCTGTTTGTTGAAATGTTTAGTCATAAAATTTGATGAAATGGGACTCTGTCTTGTAATAACGAAATTTAATTAAATAGTTTTGCAAAAAAGGAGAGGACAAATAGAAAGACTAGGTACAAAGCTCTCGATTTAGCTGTTTATAAATTTCGACTCTAAGAGGGTGTTTGTTTACAAAATTTTTCAATTCATACTTAATTCATAATCAACTTTAACTCAACATCATTATTATCAATATTATCAATATGATTAAATAATATCAACTAATCATTATTACATATCACATCAATTTTAATTCGTTATTAGTACGTAGCCCGTGCGATGCACGGGACAGAAGTATTAAATAAGTCATTTCCACATAGCTTGTCCGTTAAGTAGCTCGTGCGATTCACAGGAGATATTAAATGAGTGGACCATAGGGCTTGTCCGTTCAGGCCTAAAAAATAATAGAGTTTGATCATCTATCTTTTTACATCTTTTCATCAATGTCATTTTTTTTGTCGGAACATTAAACCTGAGTCTGGTAGCGTTAGCCCGTAAATTAATTAATATATTATCTCGCTCACATGTTTATAATAATATAAATTTGATTTCATTATATATATTTATTCCTTAATATAAAAAAATAACAATTTTATGTAATCTTGTTCCTCGTATAATGCTCATATTATTTTATTATAAAATTTATTGTAATGTAATTCATTATTATTATTTATACAAGTTATAAATGGAGTCTTCTTCTTCTTTTTGTTTTGTGTAATTAAAATATTTAATGTATGTTCATATTATTTATTAATGTAATTAATTTAAATTATGTAAATAAATTTAAAGTAAAACATTTTGTACAAACATTTTAATTACAAAATATACACAAATGTTTTTTTAGAATTTAATTTTTCTTATATAAATAAACATCTTTGAAATTCTATGCATTTATTAAACATCCTTGATATAAATTCGAAATCATAATTGAGTTATGTGCAATTATTAATTCTGTCCGATGTTATGGGAAATAAATCATTCGAAAATATAACAAAATGATAAGGAATTTTAAAATCTAAATTTTAAATGAGACATGTTTTTACTTGAATTCTATGCAATTATTATTGTGTCCGATTTTATGGAAAACAATTCATTCAGGATTTTAATGTAACAAAATGATAAGAAATTTTAATATTTAAATTTAAATTTGAAATGAGACATGTTTTTACTTGAAGTCTATCTCTTCGATTTTATTGCTAAACACATCAATTAAGGATGAATTAATGCAAATCAGATTTTTAGCAATAAAATAATAATACAATTGAAAAAATTGATAGAAATAGAATGCATTAATTGTTCTTTGACTTTTCTTGCTACTTATCTATAGTAATATAAAGAGGTTGATGGAAAAATACAAAAATAGTAACTTTGACTTTAAAAATAAAGTGTTGACTTGCTATTAGTGGAAATTTCAAAAAAAGCACATGTGAATCTTTAAGAATCAAATTTAAGGGAGATATCCCAAAAAATGTGGAGATTCTTAAGGAAACAAATTTTGAGATTCTTATGCCAAAATTTAATTCATTTCATAAATACAAATCTCATTTTTATTGGTAACAAATTTGGATATTCTTATGCAAAAAAATAAAATTTTGAATTGAGATATCGCAACAATTACGAATTTTTTCCATTCAAATTAATGTTTCAAATCAAACAAAAAATTGTTCCGGGAATAATGGATGTTGTATTAAATATTGATAAACTCCAATCCTCCATAAATTATTTATATTTATGAATTTTGTGTGTAAATATATTGATTTGTTTTTCTTAAATAATAATAAATTACATTATTTTAGGGCCTAAATCCTAACTTTTTTTTTCTATTTTTGGTGGTTTATTCTTTAATTAAAATAATATTTGACTTATTTGATTAAAACAACTTATTTTCTTTAGGAAATAAATTTAAGTGAGATATCCCAAAAAAAAATTAAGATTCTTAATGTAACAAATTTGGAGATTCTTATACCAAAATTTAATTCATTTCATAAATACAAATCTCATTTTTATTGGTAACAAATTTAGAGATTTTTATGGAAAAAATTTGAAATTTTGAATTGAGATATCTCAACAATTACGGATTTTTTTCATTTCAAATTAATGTTGCAAATCAAACAACAAATTATTCCGAGAATAATGGATGTTATACTAAATATTGATAAACTCCAATCCTCCATAAACTATTTATATTTATGAATTTTGCGTGTATATATATTGGTTTGCTTTTCTTAGATAATAATAAATTATATTATTTTATGACCTAAATCCTAACATCTTCTCTATTTTTTGGTGGTTTATATTCTTTAATTGAAATATATATGAATTATTTGATTGAAACAACTTAATCTCTTTATGAATTAAATTTAATGAGATATCCCATAAAAATTGAAGATTCTTAAGATAACAAATTTGGAGATTCTTATGCCAAAATTTAATTCATTTCATCAATATGAATCCCATTTTTATTGGTAACAAATTTAGAAATTCTTATGCCAAAAAATTGACATTTTGAATCAAGATATCCCAACAATTACGGATTTCTTTTCATTCAAATTAATGTTGCAAATCAAACAAAAAGTTGTTCCGAGAATAATGGATGTTATACTAAGTATTGATAAACTTCAATCCTCTATAAATTATTTATATTTATGAATTTTTGTTGTAAATATATTGATTTGTTTTTCTTAAAAATAATAAATTACATTATTTTATGACATATATCCTAACTTCTTTTTTATTTTTTGGTGTTTATATTCATTAACTGAAATAATATATGACTTATTTGATTGAAACAACATATTTTTAGCCATATAATCATATAATATAAAAAATTTATTAATTTACAAAAAATCACGACTTAAATATATATATCTATGAATATATAAAAAGGTAAAACATTTAGCGGTGAATAGTATGTAAAATTCCGCCTAAAATTTTCGTTTTTACTGATAATGGATTTTTTAAAAAAAAATTACAAATTCCCTCCCAAAACACAAACTGATTTATATATATATATATATATATATAAGAGATTTGAAAATCCGGGAAAATCTCTATCTATGGATATTTTTTTGTCCATATCTATTAAACTACAAAATCTTTTTAAAGTTTGAAAAGAATCTCATATTATGTGAATTCCTGGTAAATATTTTTTTCTCCATATTTATCTAACTACAATATCTTTTTTAAAGTTTAGAAAGAATCCATCTTTTTAAAGTTTGCACTCAATCGATCCCTTATATAAACCCCTCCCAACCCAATCACAAAACCCTAAGTTTGAGACAAAAAAAAAATCAGTTAGTCACAAATAAAAAAAAAAAATCACAAAAAACTCCTAAATAAAAAGTTCAAAATCAACCTATCGAATCCTAGGGTTTACTTCGACATAACGATCAGTAGCTATCCCCGCCGCTGAATCGTGATGGAGCTCTTCGCCGACATCGTCACAAAGACCGATGAGAACTTTTGCGCCCTATGCACCGACGAGAAGGACGTCGGCATATCTGGCAAGCCCCTCCACCACAAAAGGGTCATCCTTCCACCGTGCAATCCCCGATTTCATTTGTCAGAGCAGTGACTTCACTGCGGGTAACAACACTGGCGGCAAGTCGATCTACGATGCCAAGTTTACCAACGAGAACATCGTGACCATGCACACTGTGACCTGTCGATGGCGAAGGCCGGGCCGGGGACTAATGACACACACTTTTTCATCCGCACGACAAGGACGAAGTGGCTTGACGACAAGCACGTGGTGTTCGGGCAGGTGGTGGAGGAGTACGACGTATTGAAGGCGGTGGAGAATGTTGGGTCGGGGAGCCACCAGACCTCGAGACCGGTGGTGATTGCCGACGGCAACCAACTTCAGATCTGATGATTGTGTGTCGTTTAATTTGAAGTTTGGTGGAGACTATTTTTATAACTACCTAATAATTGTCTTCTGATTTGTTAAATTTGAAATTAAAAAATAGTTTGTAAGATACTTTTTTTCATAACTACCTAATAATATGTCTTTTGATTTGTTTAAATTTGAAATTAAAAAATGAAGTTAACGTTCGTAAGACTCTGAAAATCATATAAGAATTTTATATTATATGATCGATTGGTTCCTAGAAACTTGGCGCATATATATAGTTATTTTTCAAATTTTAAAATTTTAAGATTACAAATAAATATTTCTTCAAATGGTCATATTTATCTTTATAAATTTAAAGTTTTAAGATTACTATTAAATATTTTGTCAAATGGTCATAGTTATCCCAACACATTTTATCAGACTAAAAATAATATATTAGGATTTATCACACTACAGATAATATATTATAATTTAATTTTTTCACACAAATGTTTGAAAATTTTAATTTGTTGACAAGAATATTTGCCACAAAATCAAACAAAAAATATTGTGTATAGTGAATTGTTCAACAATATATGATTTTTCATACTTTGTATCTAAATTTTTGCCATAATGAAATGTTTAAATTTTAGTAATTATATTTAAAAATAAAGTTTTAAGTAGATTTTGAGGAACAAGCCTCATCGTGCATCGCACGGGTTGCTCACTAGTTTTAGTAAATAGGATGACTCTTTATATATATATAGATTCATTCAGTCACGTAATTTTTATTAACCATAAGTTCAAATCACATCACTCCTATTATTACATTAAATCAACTTTAATTATTTTATTTTAAATATTATTTTTATATAAACTCAAAATCACGCTTACTAACCATACTACTTTTATAAAAAAATAACTCTGATTAATAAAAAATAATAATTTTGAGCAAATATATTTGTATCAAGTGACTTTGAAACCTGATGCAAAGGATTTTTTTTATGCATGTGTTCATATATATGTTCATCATCGAACAAGAATATTTATTTCCTTATATATAATGAAGTGATTGGATGAAGAAAAAATTAAAAATCGTCAACGACATTAATATTGCTAATTAAGATAACTGTAGCCACTAAAGAATTAGAACATTAGACAATTAAAGAAGTCTCTATAAGTTCACTCTTGAAGTGAATAAATACTTCTGCAGTCTAGAGCTTTCTACCAATTTTCACATGCAATTACTTTTCCTGTAGAAATCTCTTGAAGCACCGACTTAGATTGACTATATATGTGGTATACCACTTTGTGTGTGCAAAGTGATATTGAGTTGTGTATGCTAGTGTACAGTGTGTACAGTGTGTACTGTATAATTAAAAGGTGTGAGTGTTTTGTATTCAAATAAAGAGTGGTGTGAGCTATTCAATTAAATTGAGTGTTATATTTGTAAATTACACCTTGGGTGCAATATAAAAAATATTTTGATTATTATTCCTGGGGGTCTTGTTCTTAACACTTGGTATAAGAGCCACGCCGGGAAAGTTCAAGCTCGTGCGAATATGTTAAGGGCTCATCAGTTGGCGTCAATGAATGGGAGATTACTGAGTTCGAACACATCATGCACAATTATAAAAAAAATTGTGAAGTGCGTGAATCTTGCTTGGTTACAAGGAGGTAGTCTAAGTCACGATGGCGGATATACAATCAGTAGGCATAATGGAAACTCAATAATTAAAATTACACCACGTGGAGGACATGCATAGAGTCGTATCTCGAAGGCTAAGATCATTGGGAAATTGTCGGCGGAGATGAGGTCAAACCACTTGAAGAAGTTGGGCGCCTTATGTGAATGGAAGGTGAAGGCGGGAAAGGCCATGTATGCACTAAAGACAACAATCAACAAATAGTTCTTGGAGCACATACGAGACTCAAGCTCTCCAAAACAGGCGTGGGACACCCTAGGAGCATTATTTTTCAAAAAGAACGAGTTCAAGCTGCAACTTCTCGAGAAGGACTCCTGTCACTCAAACAAGGGGAGATGACGGTACGCGACTACTTCAACAAGGTACGAACCCTTTGTCGCAAAATCTCTGAATCGGACACCGTTGATAAATTTTTCAAAAGCTAAATGAGAAGAATTATCATCCATGGCTTAAGACTTGAATTTAGGATAATTATAGTTGCCCTACAAAGTTGGTGTGGGTAGCCTTTTTTTGTAAATTTTAAAAATATACTAGCCAACCAAGAGCATTGACCAGACAAATAATGGAGATCTCATTAAACAAAAAAATGAAGTTTTATTTAGTTATAAAAAGAATGTGAGACCATACTAACAAAATAAAAGATACAAAGAGGAATCTTTTAAAAAGAAAGAAAGAAGCTCTAAAACAAAAACGGTCCAACAAGATTGTTATAAGAAATATCAGACTTCCAAGGGAAACAAAAAGGGCAACTGGTATATATGTGGCAACCAAATCACTATGCCAGAGACAATTAGAGTAGAAAAAAGGCTGATGAAGGTAATAAAGAAAGCTCCACCATTAAAGAGACCAACAATAATGAAGAACAGTGGGCATAGAGGCATCCATTGCGATAATCGAAGAGATGGTCCCAACTATATCTTAGGAGGCCTTAAAGAAGAGGAATCAAACCTAGATAAAAAGACGACATTGGTTATCGTTGTCCTTGGATGAAGAGACTATGAGAATGATTGGATTGTGAATGCGAAATGCTCCAATCGTATGACATGAGATAATAAAAAGTTGAAGAACACAACTTAATACAACGGAGGTTGGATGGTTCTCATTGCTGGCAATTCGAGGTTGCCAATAGCTTATATTTGCAAGACTGTCATCACCCACGGCTTAGTCCTCGTCAACTGCAATTGCAGGACGTCTATCATGTCTCAGGTACGAAGAAAAATATCCTATCAATATCATAACAGATAATTTCGGGGAATTATGTTGTTTCTGGACCCAATAACGTCAAGGTGTACCAAAACCTCAAAATTATAGATAGGACTCGAAAGAGTTGATCATCTGACTTATAACATGCATTGTTAGGACATCTGAGCTATCATAAGCTTAAGGTGATGATGAAGAAATCAATGTTGAAGGGCCTCCTCAACTGGAAATTAGAGATGACACAATATGTGTTGGTTGTTGATTTGGTAAAGCACGTTAACTACCATTTGAAGACTCAAGCTACAGAGCAAAGAAGCCTCTAGAGAGAATTCACTCTGACATGTTTGGGCCAGTTAAACAACCTTCGATATGTGGTATGCGCTATATGGTGGCATGTATCGATGACTGCTCAAGGTAAGTTTGGGTATTCTTTATTAATGAAAAATCATAAGTATTTTGAAAGTTCAAAGATTTCAATGAAACTGTTGAAAGAGGAGTCAGGGATAAGATCTAGTGCCTTCGTACGGATAACAGGGAAAATACACATAAAGAGAATTCTCCCAATTTCTGAAGGAGCATAAGATATAACATCAACTGATGTGTCCAAACGCACCTCAGCAAAATGGTATAGCAGAAAAGAAAAATCGACACCGAGAAGAAAAATGTCGAAGCATGATATATGCAGAGAAAAGCATGATACATGCAAGGAACGTACTAACGAGGTTTTGGACAGAATGTATGAAGACAGCGACCCACATGATAAATCGGCTACCACAAGCAAAGTTGGATTCATGCCACCATTCGAAAAGCTATAGAAAATCAAACCAACTGTCATCCACTTATGAGTCTTCGAACGCATCTGTTACGTGTTCGTACCAAGTTACTTACGGAGAAAATTTGACAAGAAGACAATCAGATGCATATTTTTGGGAATGAGAGCCAAAGAAAATGGTGGAGATGCTGTGATCCATCAAGTGGTTGGTGTTACACATCAAGCACCATGATATTTAATGAAGCATCCTCTTGGTTAACACTATTAAATTCAAAGGAAATCAAGGATAAACTCCAAAAATGGGTGAAACTTCCAGATGCAACTCAATGAATAGAAGAATCAGACGAGGAAGGGGTATCACCAAGAAAAACTCAATGCCCGTGGCAGACTAGTTTACATGAGACAATTCCAGAAGTGATAAGACCAAGTCAACTCGAGGAGATTGAGCCACCAAGAGAGGAAGAAGGAGAAGTACCACCAAGTCCACAACAAGTATAATGGAGCCACGAAAATTTGAGGAAACAATTAGACATAAAGAATGGACAAAAGCAATGATTGTGGAGATTATGCTTTAATGCAAAATGAAACAGGGACGTAGTACCCAAACCGAATGGAGTTAAACCCGTATATTGTAATAAGTTTATAAAACTAAAAGCAGCCTGACGAATCAATTGAAACATATAAAGCTCGATTAGTTGCACGTGGATTCTTACAAAGTACGGGCCAGACTACGACGAGCCATTTAGTCCAGTGGTAAAAATTACAACAGTTCGAGTACTGATTGTACTAGCAGCAAACAAGTCCTAGAGGTTATGGAATACGGACTTGAAGAATGCATTTATACATGGAGATCTGGGCAAAGAAATATACATGTACCAACCTGTGGGGTTTGAGGATAAAGAGAATTCAGGCTACATGTGCAAATTAAAGAAGGCCTTATATAGGTTAATGCAAGCACCACGAGAATGGTACAATAAGATCGTTGAATTCTTAATTCAATGTGGATACTTTGTTGCACCAGCTGACTCGAATCTCTTCATCAACATTGTTATTGTATGTGGATGATAATATTATCACTAGAGACAATGAAGAAGAAATCCAATAAACCGGGAGTAATTTATTGGTGAGATTCCAAATGAAAGAACTTGGAGAACTTAAGTACTTTTTGAGGTTTGAGCTAAAAGTAACATGGGACGGGCTTTTATTGTGCCAGTCAAAATATGTTAAAGATATATTAAGGAAATTTGGCATGATTGACTGCAAGCCTTTATCGACGCCAATTGAAGTAAACACCAAAATATGTGCTCAATATGGAAAATACTTGGAGGGTGCAACTATGTACAAGCAGTTGGTCGAAAGCCTAATTTATCTAACCGTAACACGACCGGATATTTCATTTGCAGTGCGGATTGCAAGTCGATTCATGAAAAAACCAAAGAAACCACACCTCGAGCTAGTCCAACGAATACTAAGGTATGTAAAAGGATCAATTTGAGTATGGACTTTTGTATAAAAAGAATAAAGATTTCAAAATTGTTGATTATGTCGACACAGACTATGCTGGATGTCGTGATACGAGAAGGTCCACTATTGAGCATGTGTTCAAGTTTGGGTCAGCTGCAATACCATGATGTAGCAAGAAACAATTGACTGTTCTTTATCAACAACAGAGGTCGAGTATCGAGCAGCAGCAGCAATGGCATCACAAGAAATCACATGGCTTATGCAACTATTAACAGATCTACATCAGTCATTTAGCTATGCCGTGCAGTTGTATTGTGATACCCAATCTGCTATACGTGCAGCATAAAACCCCACATGCCACGTAAGAACAAATCATATTGAATTACATTGTCACTTTGTTATAGAAAAAGTGCTCAAATGCGAGATTAAGATGAAACACATTGGCACGAAAGACCAAATAGTCAACGTGTTCGCTAAATGAATAATTTTTTTTTAAATTTGAAGAGTTCCAAACACGACTTGAAATGTTCTAGAAGAAAACATAACTCAAGAGAATGTCGTTGCAAAAAGGAGGAATTGAAAAAATCAACGACATTAATAATAATAATAATTAAGAAAAATATAGCTACCAAATAATTAAAAAATTCTGGACAATCAAAGAAGCCTCTATAAAGTTCACTCTTGAAGTAAATAAATGCATGTGCAGTTTAGAGCTTTCCACCAATTTTCACATGCAATCATTTTTTCTGTAGAATCTTCTTGAAGCACCAAGTTAGTCTGCCTATGTTATATGTGGTCTACCACTTTGATGTGTGAAAGTGAATATTAGGTGAGTTGTCTGTGTTAGAGTGTAAAATGGGTGTACTGTGTAATTAAAAGAGTGAGTATTGAGCGGTTGTGAGATATGAGTGTTGTGAGCTTTTCAATTAAATTGATATATTTATAAATTACATCTTGTGTGTAATATAAAAAATATTTTGATTATTATTTTTGAGTCTTGTTCTTAACAAAACTATGGTGGATTGAATGCAGAAATACCGGGCTTACCGGTGATTGGGAATTTACTGCAACTGAGAAACAAGAAACCTTACAAGACTTTTATTAGGTGGGCCGAGAAATATGGCCCAATCTACTCTATTCGAGTTGGCTCCAACACACTTGTTGTCCTCAACTCTATTGATGTTGCCAAGGAGGTGAGCCAAGGCAAAATTCATTCTTTTTCTGTTTACAAGAATTTGTATGTATGAATGGTTCGTGCTAACTTGTAATGTGATTCTTTTTTTCCCCATAACAGGCAATGGTGACTAGATTCTCATCAATCTCGAAGAGAAAGATGTCAAACGCAATGAATATCATTTCTTGTGATAAAAACATGATTGCAACCAGTGATTATGGTGAATATCATAAGACGAACAAGAGGCATATTCTCAATAGTATGTTGGGTCCTAATGCTCAGGTATATATATGAGCATTACATTCACGGCAGAAATTCAATTTTGGTCCGTTTACTTGTTTAAAGTCCTTTTTTGGTACATTAACTTTCTTCTCATCAATAATAGTACGTTATGTTGCAATTTGTATCACTATTGAAACATTATTCCGAAAATGGTTTATTATCTTTGGGGATTAATGTCCTAAAAATGATACAAATTGCAACATAACGTACTAGTTTGATGAGTAATGTCCCAAAAATGATACAAATTGCAATATAACTTACTATTTTTTTTAAGGAGTAAGTTAGTGTACCAAAAATGAACTTTAGACAAGTAAACGGACTAAAATTGAAATTTTTCCTTACAGACACGCCTTCTGGTTTCATTTTTTCACCAAATTATTGTAATATATCCTAAAGATGCAACTCACTGCTTTGTTTATTATCTTTAGAAACGACATCAAATTAACAGGGATACCATGATAGAAAACACGTTGAAACAATTGCGAGCTTGTCTGAAAGAGAATCCTCTGGCAGCTGTGAATTTCAGAAAAATATTCCACTCTGAACTTTTTGGACTGACATCGAAACAAGTAAGCCCGTTGAATTCAACTGGATTACGTGATTGTTCACGGATCTTTTGTATGAAAAGAGAATTTTTTAGCTATAGATAAGATACTAATATAGATGAAAAATATTAGAGTAAATTACAATTTTAGTATTGTATATTTCACTACCTTAACTTTTTCGTCCTCTCTGAATCGCGTTTTTTATTTTCGTCCCGTATGTTTACAAAAAGGTCATTTTCATACATGAAGGACGAAATTGGAACCTTTGTTTGCAAAACATAAAGGACCCTTTTGCTGCAAAAAGGACCTTTTTGTAACCTTTTTGCAAACATACAGTACGAAAATCAAAAACACAATTCGAAGAGGATGAAAAAGTTAAGGTAGTGAAACATACAGGACTAAAAATGCAATTTACTCAAAATGTTTTGGTTGATCAGTTGTAAACTAGTGAAAGCTTGTTTGTGTTTACAGGTTTTTGGACATGATGTGGAATCTATATATGTCGAGAAACTTCGAACAACATTGTCGAAGCAAAATATCTTCGAAATTTTAGTGGTCGACCCTATGAAAGGCGTCCTTGAGGTAGACTGGAGGGATTTCTTCCCATATCTAAAATGGATACCGAACAAGTCTTTTGAGAATAATGTCGAGCGAATTTATTCTCGTAGGCAAGCCGTGATGACTGTGCTCATCGACGAACAGAAAAAACGTATTTCTCGTGGAGAGGTACATTTGCGGCATTTCAATTCAGGTTTATCATTTATTGGACTGATTTTGTTGTGATCACTCTGTTATTCTTCGCAGAAAGTGAATTGTTACCTCGACTATTTGTTATCTGAAGAAAAAACGTTATCCGAAAAACAGAGGCTCAGGCTATTATGGGAGGCCATATTAGCATCATCTGATACTGTTTTAGTTGCAACTGAGTGGGCTATGTTTGAACTTGCTAAAGATGCAGAACGACAGGTGAATGATTTTTTTTTTTTTTTTCCTTCAAATTTTTTTTTTTTTCCTTCAAATAATTTATTAACAAGTTTATTGGAACTATCTTGATTTATTTTACTTATTATTACAAGCAAATAGGACCGTCTATATCGAGAAATTCAAAGTGTTTGTGGAAATGAAAAAATCACGGAGAAAAAGTTAGGCGAACTTCCGTTCTTATCTGCAGTTTTTCATGAGACTTTGAGAAAGTATAGTCCAGCTCCTATAGTTCCTCTGAGATACGTTCATGAAGATACTCAAATTGGAGGATATCATATTCGAGCAGGAACTGAGGTAACTAATTGATCTTCTATTAATGTGTGTTCGATTTAGATATTGAATATCCTTAATAAAAGATAAGAAAAGCTGGTCTTGGTAACTTTACAATATGCTGAATGTTGATAATAAAAAAAATAAAAATTCACCTGAAGTTTCAAGAGATTACAGAAAAAAACAGAGAAAAATATTTCAAACTATAAAAGAAATAAGTAAAATCGACGCTTTATTTAATTTTTCATGCAGATTGCTATAAATATCTTCGGATGTAACATGGACAAGAAAGTATGGGAAAATCCTGAATGCTGGAACCCCGAGAGATTTGTTGATGAAAAATATGAAATGATGGATCTACACAAAACGATGGCTTTTGGAGCTGGAAAAATGGTGTGCCCTGGTGCCTTAATGGCAATGCTGGTATCTTGCTTGACAATAGGTCGTTTAGTTCAGGACTTTGAATGGAGGCTTAAGGATGGAGAAGAAGAAAATGTTGATATGATTGGATTGATGACTCAGAAGCTTCATCCATTGCATGTCGTTTTAAAGCCAAGAAATTGACTGAACTAAGTCATGGAATTTACTCGGGGCCAAATCAAGTGTGGTTCAAACTTCAGATTTCATGTATTATTTTTTTTTTTTCTTGATACGTTGTTAGAACCTCGGCGAAGCTATAATAGCGCCGACTTATTATATTTAAATTAAAATTATTATTATAATTGTTATTGGTATTATCATTGAAATTAGTATAACTAGAAAAATTATCTTAATTAGCAAAGATTAACAAGAAATTAATCGTTTATTTTAATTAAGCATAGTTTGATTTACTTAAAAAAAGACTATTTAAAGTATTATGTTTGGTAAAACTAGCTAATAGCTGATAAGCTAGCTTATAGCTTATTTGTAATTTTTTAGCTTATAACTTATAGCTTATGACTTATAACTGAAAAGCTAGCGTATATGATAAATGTGTTTGGTAAAATTAGCTGATAAGCTAGCTGAAATAAAAAATTTAACTAGCTTATTTGAAAAGTTACCTAAAGTAGCTTATGAGATAAGCTTGAGCTTTTTAAAAAAGAGGCAATTTAACTAGCTTATTTGAAAAGTTATCTAAAGTAGCTTATGAGATAAGCTTGAGCTTTTTTAAAAAGAGGCTTATTTGTATACAGGGAGTTTATAAGCTAACCAAATAAGCTATAAGTTAGCTTATCATTATTAAAAATATAATTAGCTTATTTAGCAAGGAATTAAGTAAATAAAGAAATAAACAAGAGAGATAAAGTAATTACCATAATTAAAGAGAGGAAGAATTGGTCAAGCCTTATTTATCTTCACCGATCCTCTCCTCTTATCTCTCAGATTTCACGCAACCCATCCTTCTTCAAACCGATCAAATTGAAAACTCTCATTCTCTCCATTAACACTCGAGCAACCCCAAGCAACCACCTTCCCGCCTACTCCCTCCCTTAAAATTTTATTTTTTATTTTCCCTTCGGATGAAGTTCCCCTGACGACCGAGACCAAGGAGTTTCCACGGCTGAGGCGAGAGCATGCGAGCGAGTTCACCGACCGCTGAGAGCAACCGCGCATAGGCCCGAGCTTCCCCTTCGTTTTTCCTCCGAAAGGCAAGCCTCCTTCCAAAATCTAATTTATCTTGTTGTGCAAGTTTCGATTTCCCTGCGTTCTGAATGCTGTTCTCTTGTTGTTTTTGACCCCTGAAACTCAGTTGTTTGTTTTTGGATTCTTTATGTGATTTGAAGTTCAGTCTCTTATGTTATATCGAGAACAAAAATCCAGTGATTATCGATTTAATAGTAAACATTATGTGGAAAGTTTTATCGTTGCGCAGTCAGCCTTTCTTTGTTGATCGTACAAGTCTGTACATTCTTTGTTGTTTTAGCCATCGTCTTTTAATCGAATGNCTGAATGATTTTGATGTCTTAACGTAAATTGTAAATATGTATCGTATATTTAATTAGACACAGGAATCACAATATTATCTATCTTATACTGCAAGCTATGTCCAATGTTTTATTGTTGCGCGGTCTGTTTTTCTTGTCAAACGTGCTTGCATTGCAGTCTGTCTTACTTTGCTGTGTGACCCTTTTCGTATGGCCTGACACTTTTGATATCTTCATATGATTTGTATAGATTTATTTGGCATCTGAAACTTAAAGCTCGACTAGCTTGTATATTTGCACATGCCCAAATCAAACAACTAATTGAGTTTGCCTATCAAATAAGTTGAGTCGAAAGTGTCAGTCAGTAATAGTTTTAGGTTTCGGGCTAGTCGATGACATGCATCAATTTTACATGCATTTTACGTGCTCGTTTGCCCATAGTTGGATATATATTTTTTCTTTATTTTAGTTAATTTTATTAAGCGCTAACGAGGTTCTTTAATTTTGTTTTAATAGAAATTGGGATCGAAATAATTAATGAAGGCGAAAACAAAGAGAATCGGTCAAAGAATGTGTAATTCAATGCGTTTGTATAGTCCCAACAGATAATTACATGGCAGTCCATTTTATTTGATCTAGTGGGCCAAACTACTAACTCAATGTACCAACCCAAGAAAGAATAAATTGAAAAAGCATTAGAAATATGAGATGGCCCAAAAAAGTTATCTATTTAAGTGATGGTAGAAATGTCATTTAAAACTTGAACATTCATCTCCATGCTCATGTACGAAACAACAACCTCGGCCATTGATGAGCAGGAGCTGCTTGAAGTCATGTTCCTTTATTTGTCTATGAACTTCATTTGAGTTTATACAGTCCAAAATTAGATAGGGCTTGGTATAATTTTTTTGAAAGATAAAGTTGGTAATTTTTTTATTTTTTATTTTTATATGGGGCTGGAGTTCACCATAGCCCATTGATGACTCCGCCCATGACCCCAACTATTTAAGAAATACTAGGACACATTTTTGAGAGAGTTTTTGGTAGAGTTTTAGAGTGTCTTGGAGGCTAGAAACACACACATGACGAGCGACAAAGTAGGAATGAAGAGATCGACGAAGGTGGATAATTTTTTTTTCCTTTTCTTTTCTCTTTAAAACTTAATGTTTTATATTTATTTTCCTGATTTTAGAGAAGAATGTTCTTAGGCTAATTTTATTTTAGATTTTAGGATTTGTTGTACTCGGATTGATTTATGATATATTTTTTATTCAATTCATTCCAGTTATTTTCGTTTGTGAATTTCTTGTGCTTATATTTATTGCATGAGCAGATGGCTACTATAAATACATATTTGTGATTGATTTGAGATCGAGAAGAGATAATGATTGCTAAAATTGAAAAATTTTATAACGTAAGAGAATAAACAGACCGAGAGGTTGATATGAACTTACAGACAACAAATATCCCCTACCTTATAGACTTAGTTGTTTATCTTGAGACCGAGAAGAAATAGATAGCAATTAATCTACGATTTAACTTGTTCGAGAAAAAAAATTAAATTAATTTAGCGATTATCTCTACGATTGGTAAACTAAATAATGTTTGGTTGAATTCGAACGTTTCATGAAAAAGCATAACCTAGAATCTATCTTTTATATCTCGCTTTATCTCTATTTCTTTAAATAAATTATATTTCGTAATTTATTTTCTCAGTTTATTGTCGTCGTCAAAATTTATTCGTCAAGATAATATTTAATCGTTATAATTCTAGCATTTAATTAATTTAAGTATAATATTTATATAATACGATCTTGTTCATCACTACCTATAGCTACGTCGTACACTTACAGATAGCAAAAATTATAAATAGCAAACAGTGCCCAACCCTGGCAATTTTTGCCGAGGATAAGTCTCGAGTAATAAGGTCGTGGATTAGGCACAAGTCTATCAAGGTCTATGGCGACTACTTTTGATTCACGACCATCCAAGAGAAAAATATGCACTTGTTTGTGAAGAAGAAATCAATATTATCAAGTTGTTGCAAAGAAAATATACTTTGCAACACTTTGTTCATTTCAATTATTGATTGTCAAGTTGTTTTAAAGAAATATACTTTGCAACGTCCATCTCTGACAACTCACTGATAAATAACAATTCAAAACCCAAATAAGCATACATGCAAGGGAGATGAGGACAACTAAAATAAAATGCTGGTCTAAACATAATTAGCATATTTTATTTAGCATGTTGTTATTTAGCATATTTTAATGTTTATATAATACAATAATAATACATTTGCAAAAGACCATAAATAACATTACAAGGACGGATATAGTCATTCTTGGGCTTCCAAGTGGTGTGACCGACAAAAATGGATGCAATTCCAAGTGTTGACCAAATATCACTGGGAACTGTGGTTTCAATATTTTGTATTGGGCTGTTTACTCTGTGGCTCATCAATGGATATCTCAATAAAAGCTGGAAATTGAAGACATCTTCAGGCCTCACTCCTCCACCTGGTAACTTTTTCCTTAGAGTTTTGTTTTAATTAATCAAGTTGAGAAATCAATTGAAAAAAACACAATCGTGTAGCTATTTGGATGAAGGAATTAAAGCACGGATCCTGTTTGTTAAAATGTTTAAGTCATAAAATTTGATGAATGAGACTCTGTCTTGAAAGAACGAAATTTCATTAACAGTTTTGCAAAAAAGGAAAGAACAAATAAAAATACAGAGAAAAAACCTCTCATTGAGGTCCAAAGTTCTCGATTAAGTGACTTTGAAACTTGGTTCATAGCAATATAGCATGTTTTTTGATGTGTTCAATATATATGTTCATCAACGAACAAGAATATTTATTTCCTTATATTTAATGAATTGGTTGGATGAAGAAAATTATTGTGGATTGAATGCAGAAATACCGGGCTTACCCGTGATTGGGAATTTACTGCAACTGAGAGACAGGAAACCTTACAAGACTTTTATTAGGTGGGCCGAAAAATATGGCCCGATCTACTCTATTCGAACTGGCTCCACGACACTTGTTGTCCTCAACTCTATTGATGTTGCCAAGGAGGTGAGTCGGGCAAACGTCATTTCTTTATCGCCATCACAAAGGATGCCATAATTTTTTTTCGGCAAAATTGCAATTTTAGTCCTGTTGGTTGATCAGTGGCGTTTTTAGTCCTAAGAATTGAACATTTTTGCTATTTGGTCCTATGATTTTGAAATTCAACGCAATTTCAGTCATTTAGAACTGAAAATGCAACAAAATTTATAATTACAGGACTTAATTTGCTAATAAAAAATCTTTTGGATGAATTTTTTATTAGCAAACTAGGTCCTGTAATTATAAATTTTGTTGCATTTTCAGTCCCAAAGGACTGAAATTGCAGTAAAATACTAAATTACAGGATCAAAAGACAAAAAGTTGAAATCTTGAGATTAAAAATGCTACGGTGTTAAACCAGCAGGACTAAAAATACAATGTTGCCTTCTTTTTCTCTAATGGCCCCTGGTGACATTGTAATGTGATTCTATTTTTATTCTTTTAACTAATAGGCTATGGTGACTAGATTCTCATCAATCTCGACAAGAAAGCTTCCAAAATCAATAAAGATTATTTCTTGTGATAAAAACATGATTGCAGCATGTGATTATGGTGAATTTCATAAGACAGCCAAGAGGCATATTGTTAATAGTATGTTGGGACCTAATGCTCAGGTATGTATATGAGCATTACACTCAGAGAGGCGCCTTGATAGTATGTTGGTTTTCTTTTCTCACCAAATTATTGTAAGTTGTTTATTATCTTCAGAAACGACATCAAATTCACAGGGATACCATGATAGAAAACCTGTCGAAACAATTGCGAGCTTGTCTGAAAGAAAATCCTCTGGCAGTTGTGAATTTCAGAAAAATATTCCATTCTGAACTTTTCGGACTGACATTGAACAAGTAAGCCAGTCCGATACATGTTGCTCCCCATTATAAAATAAGATACTGATATAGATGAATAAAAGTTTTGGTTGATCAGTTGTAAAACTATTTCGCTTGTTAAACTCCTTTTACTTCATGACTAAATTTTGCGGAACCAAAAACTCAAGTTATTGTTGAGTAGGCTAAATGTATTTTATATTTTATTTCCTCTTTATTTTTTCCTTTTTGAAATTTAACCTTAAGCTAGACCTGACCATGGTTCAAGAACCTCCATGCTCAAACTGAAACACAAATATTTTAATTAATAAATATAGTTTGTTTAAATTAACTACTAAATAAAATGGTGGTTCCCAAGTATACCCAAGCTAACATATATTTTCTCAAGCATTTGTGAAGTAATACTAAAAACTAGTGAAAGTTTGTTTGTGTTTACAGGTTCTTGGACATGATGTGGAATCTATATATGTCGAGAAACTTCGAACAACATTGTCTAAGCAAGATATCTTTGAAATTTTAGTAGTCGACCCCTTTAAAGGCATCCTCGAGGTAGACTGGAGGGATTTCTTCCCATATCTAAAATGGATACCAAACAAGTCTTTCGAGAGTAATGTCCAGCAAATTTATTCTCGTAGGCAAGCCGTGATGACCGTACTCATCAACGAACAGAAAAAACGAATTTCCCGTGGGGAGGTACATTTGCGGCATTTCAATTCAGGTTTATCATTTATTGTACAAATTTGGCAAAATTGCATTTTTAGTCTTGCTGGTTTAACGCTGTAGTATTTTTAGTCCCAAGATTTCAACTTTTTGTCTTTTGATCTTGTAATTTAGTATTTTGCTGCAATTTCAGTCCTTTGGAGGACTGAAGTTGCAACAAAATTTAAAATTACATGACTTAAATTGCTAATCAAAAATTCATCTAAAAGATTCTTTATTAGCAATTTAAGTCTTATAATTTTAATTTTTATTGCATTTTCAGTTCCAAAGGACTGAAATTGCGTTGAATTTTAAAATCATAGGACCAAATAGCAAAAATATTCAAGGACTAAAAATGCCACTGCATCAAACCAACAGGACTATAATTGCAATTTTGCCTACAAATTTTATTGTAATCGTTCTTATTATTATTATTCTCAGGAAGTGAATTGTTACCTCGACTATTTGTTATCTGAAGAAAGAACATTATCCGAACAACAGATTCTCATGTTGTTATGGGAAGCCATACTGGAATCATCAGATACAGTTTTGGTCACAACTGAGTGGGCTATGTTTGAACTTGCTAAAGATCCAGAACGACAGGTGAATGCACTTTTTTTTTTGCGCTTCACATAATTAAATAACAAGTTGATTGGAACTATCTTGATTTATTTTACTTGTTATTACACCATAATAGGATCGTCTGTATGGAGAAATTCAAAGTGTTTGTGGAAATGAAAAAATCATGGAGAAAAAGTTAGCCGAACTTCCGTTATTGTCTGCAGTTTTTCATGAGACTTTGAGAAAGTATAGTCCGGCTCCTATAGTTCCTCTGAGATACGTTCATGAAGATACGCAAATAGGAGGATATCATATTCGAGCAGGAACTGAGGTAATGAATTGAATTGATCTTCTATTTGTGAAGATATGTGTATTCTATTTAGATATTTAATATCCTTAATAAAAGATAAGACGAGCTAGTCTGGGTAACTTTACAATATGTTGAATGTGGATAACCACAAAAATTTCACCTAAAGTTTTCAAGAGATTACAGAAAAAATATAGAAAAATATTTTCAAACTATAAAAGACAAAAGTGAAATTGATGTTTCATTTAATTTTTCATCTTCGCTGGCTCTTTACTAAGAAAAAACTAATAAGCAAATATACATCTCAGAGGTTCTTCTTCCAACTATCCCAATTCTTTGAATTTGCCACCTTTAGATATCTACTTTTGGTCTAGAAGGATTGCTAAGTGGGGTTAATTTTTCATGCAGATTGCTATAAATATATTTGGATGTAACATGGACAAGAAAATATGGGAAAATCCTGAATGCTGGAACCCCGAGAGATTTCTTGATGAAAAATATGAAATGATGGATCTACACAAAACGATGGCTTTTGGAGCTGGGAAAAGGCTGTGCCCTGGCGCCTTAATGGCAATGTTGGTATGTTGCTTGACAATAGGTCGACTAATTCAGGACTTTGAATGGAAGCTTAAGGATGGAGAAGAAGAAAATGTTGATATGATTGGGTTCATGACTCAGAAGCTTCATCCATTGCATGTTGTTTTAAAGCCAAGAAATTGACTAAACTTGAGATTTCATTCTTTTCTTGACGTAAGAACCTCGGCAAATCTGTAATAGCTTCTTGGATATTTTACTTGTTTATTCCTCCTTATGCTTATCACATTTTCAATAATTTTACATGAGAAGTCTCTATGCTTATCTGGCCTATATATTTTTTTTCGAATGTGTTAAGTCTAAATAGCATGCTCGTATTATTTCGGAAGTTTATTTGACATAAGTTTATGATTCGTATTGACACATGTTCATACTTGGATTAACAACTAGGTTTGCGAATTACCATTATATTATTTTACCTTTCATTTTCTTAAATTATCGTATATTACCTATTTTTTTTATAAATTACCATACACTACATTTCATTTTCTTATTTAATTCATACATTAATTATTATAAATATTTATTCTTCTTATTATATAAAAAAAGTAATTTTTTTACTGTATATTTTTTTATATATAATATATCAGAATGACAATCTTTTAACTATTTTAGATCCAATATCCAGATTGCATATATAATATAAAATAAAATTCATATATCTTTATAATATACCTTAAAATATCATTTTTAGTATACTTTATTTATAGATCTGGGAAAAATATGCGAAATGAGCATTAACAAAATAATGAATATGAAAGTATATTCAAAGAAATTATATCTCGACTTAAATAAAATATATGTAGAGTTGGAAAGATATTATGATGTTGTAAATAAAAAATACAAATGAATATCGTAATTAAAAAATAAATAATACAACTTTTTCATAAATTTAGAAAATATTATATTTTTATATAAGTTCATTTTAAATCATCATAATATAAATTTAAAATACTTACAAATTTAATATATGAGAAATCAATCCAAAAATTACAAAGTATGATTACAATTAAATAACGCTATTAAAAAAACTAAAATATTCAAAATCAAACTTATGGTATTGTTGATACTACTTTCTTTGGACATATATAATTTAATAAATATATTAAAATTATTATTTTCAAAAATTAAGTGTTAACACTGGTTTCATGATAAATAAGAGCATCTCGAATGAAATATTATCTATTTTCTGTTGTATGGCATGGAGAAAGAAAATTAAAATTGTAATAGGTTGGAGAAAAGACATAAATTGAATAGATAATAAAGTATAAAAAAAATCTATTACTATATAATAGAGAGAAGAAAAAATGTTTGAAAAATATTTTCACTTTGCCGCTCAAATCTTTTTTTCCCTCCTAAAATTTTATTTGAAATTTTTTCATACATGTTTTCCTTATTTTGGATGATATTCCTTTCATATTGGATAAATTCCAGTTCCTTTTGATTTGGAAAAACCGAAAAAAAGAGGAATGCTCAAGTATTTTCAAAATTGAATCTTTAGGAATCCGATTATATATATCATCAATTAAGATAACGATATGAAAAATAGCAAATATAAGTGGTTTTAAGAATCTCCACTATCGGGTATTTTAATCATATTATTTGTAATTCAAACAATTTTATAAGGGATTGTCTTATTTCCTCTTATTTAAATGAGGTCTTATTTTCAAACAAATTTGAGCATTCCTCAAATTTGATATCGTTGGTATTTGTGAGCATTCAATTAAGATAACGACAAATTATCTAAACACGGGTCTTATTTCCTAATTTAATTGAGGTTCCTGACCATGAAGACCATGTTTGTATACAAATATTTTCACTCAAAAAAGGAGTTATTTTTGTTAGTTATAGTTATTTTTTTAAAAAAGTCTTATGGTTAGTTTTTAGTGGGATTTTGATTTTATATTAAAATAATAATTAAAATAAAATAATTAAAATTGATTTGAAAATAAGAGAGAGAATATTTGAAGTGAGAGTTAGCTAAAATTATGCGAGTGGATGAATAATAAATTAAAATTAAGTGATGTTTAAGAATGATTTGTTGATATTATTTAATTATATTGATAATATTTATTATAGTGAAGTTGTGTTAAAGTTTAGTTAAATTTTGAGTATGGAGTGAGTTTTTTTGTATACAAACACAACTCGAAAATTTATCCAAGTTATCTAATCGGGTATTTTAAGATATAATAATTCATATTTTTCATTGTTTGTATTTATTTTATTTCATAGTAGATGAGATAAAATATAAAGAATTATATTTAAAATAAAGTCTAAAAAAGTTAAAAAATATGAGCTCATCCGTGCATCGCACGGGATATACACTAATTATTTAGAATAGCTTTTACTCTAGAAGACGGATAGACATTTTCCATGACACATAGGATAATTTGAGTCATGTGCCGACAAAATAGAGTAATGAAAAGGCCATTGGAGATGCTATAATATCACTTTCTTAGTTCTTTATTATTTATAAGTTACCAATAATAATATAATTATTTTATACTTTTTTTTTTTGTGAAAATATCAATTTTTTTCAAGTACCCGTGTAGTACACAGATACCATGTTAGTAATGCTTTAATGGAAAAAGGAAACACTACAAGAAATTTGTCTTTTACCAACAGAATGATCCGTTGGTAATCAAGTTTTCCAATGGAATTCAAACGGATTACCATCGGATTTTCTTGTTGGTATATGACTTGTTGCTAATTATTATCTATGGAAAATACAATCCGTTGGGAAAAACTGCAACAACTTACCAATGGATTTGCAACAGAAATGCTCTATAACATTGTTAAGAGATTCTCAACAAATAATGTAGTTGCTAAATAATTTTGTTGGCAAATTAGTAATAGAAAGCCAATAGATTAGTCACAGATTTACTATCGAATTACCAATGGATATTTTATCAACGAATTACCAGCGAATCTTTTATTTTTTGTAGGTTTACTATTAATCCGTTTACAAAAAAAGGCACTTATATTTTTTATAATAATGTCAAAATATTTTATGATCATATTAGAATGTGTTATAGAAAAGAAATAAGAATACATTGTAGTGGTCGGATTGGATATCAACGCTCCAAGGCTGGTCAAAGGCTGTAGCACTGGTGAACGAGGCGGTGACATTATTGTAATTATGGGTAATTTTGATTTTTAATGCGTCGCATAATACAGTGTTACGCTAATCTGCATTTTTACATAAATTAATGTACACTTCTTCTAACACTATTGTGCATTTTCTAGCGCAGTATTTTTAACATTGAACTAAAAATCGGCCTAGGCGCTAGGTGGTGCCTGGCCGTCTCAGATTTACTTAAATCGGCCGAAAAATCGGTCAGGCGGCTATGCGGCGCCTAAGCGCTTCTACGCGGGCTCGGCGGATCAGTTGCTGGGTGGCTGGGCGGCTCCTAGGTGGGCCCGCCGGCAAATTTTTAATTTTTTTTTAAATACTAATTACATTATTTTATTCTCATGCTTTTCTTTAAAATATATTAATATTATTATTTGGACTTAGGTGTGTAGATTTATTATATTTTGAGATAGTTTTATTTTTTAGCTAGTTAAAGTAAATAAAAAAATAAGGTATATAATCTTGATTTCGAGGCCCCGCCTAGGCGTTGCTCGAGCGCCTAGCAACTTCTAGAAAATTGATTTTTAATGTGCATATCCATACATAACATATCACGATAATTCTTTATCGCCAAGGAGGTGAGTCGGGGAAACTTCATTTCTTTATGGCCATCCCAAATGATGCCATAATTCTTTTCCTCTTGGAGTTTCCAAAATAAAGATCGAGACATCACTTGCAAAAAATCCCAAAAATAGCATATACTAGGCTTATTATATTTTTCAGTTAAAAATCACCTTCAATGGGCTCTTATTATAAATAGGTCAGAGGACTATCCAAATTTATAAATAAAAACCTCTGGTACAAACGATCGTCGACCGATTTATCGTCCTTATTTTTTTTTCTTGTCCTTTTTTGGCCCAATGATAGTAACTATATAAATAACAAAGAACATACAGACTAGATAACAGCCAAAAGTCGACAAAATCAGCTAACAACCGAATCTAGTTGGGAGGCCTACATCAGAGCAACTTAGTACCAACAAAAAACAAATAAAACAAACCTAAAAGGAGAACCAAAACAACTCCAACAAGTGGAGAACAAAACACTACCAACAGGAGAACAGAAACACATAAAAAAACCTAAAACTAGACAAAAGCTAGACTAATGCCCTCCCCACCAGCTGAAAACGCGCACTACACCGAAACAACACAAACAACACCCATGCGATAAACCAAACCGAAAAGCTACCAAGCCCAAAGCCCACCACCGGATCGGGAAATACCCTAAACAGGTAACTCGATCCGGACCGCCAGACTTGAACTCACCCACAATTCTCCACCTTGGTTAGCCCTACTAGGCCTGAGCCGCCGCCCTCCCTCGCCATACCTCCGTCGGTGCAGCCACAAGAATCACCACCGCCCTGATAGATCCTGCGTCCTAGCACTAGGGACAACTGGAAACAGGGAGCCCGAGGCTCGGGCCTCAAGCCGACGGCTACAAAACAACCACCAGCCCAGCCCCTTGCACCACCACAGAGCCGACGACCGCACCCCAAGACCGCCATGGCTTCCGACAGAAGGAAGAAATCCACGCATAGAGACAGAGCCGATCCTGAAAATTTGTATTTTGTAGGCCCTGGTCCAAATGAATAAATAGTGCCCATATTGTTTTTATTTAGAAAAAAAAAATCATAAACATTTTATCATATTACAAAAAAATAATGAAGATTATAACAAAATTGTAATATTTTATTAAAAAAATTGACAATAAGTAGATGAATAAATCATATGCAGTCCTTGTATAAGAAAAAAAGACAACAAAATAAAAATAATGTTTCAAAGTCTTTTTCACATTAACCATATATTTAATTATATTGTAATCTCGAATAGTCAACTTTTTTATTGCAAAAATACTAATATTAGTTTTTAATATATATATATATATATATAACCAATAAACAACACATGAAACTCACATTTATAATGGATAACTCCATGCCCTATAATGACTATCACTTCTATGATTGAATTATATGCACACAAGTGAAATTTTGCATATTCAAGTAAGAAGTTAAAAAATATTTATGGATCGAATGACAAAATGAGAAAACAAAATATATAAAAAGAAATACTTAAGTTAATTATCAATTATTATAATTAATATCATCATTAGAACTTCACATAAAAAAGAAAACTATATTTAGTTATTTGAAAATTAAAGAAAAAAATTAACTCATTTTAATAATTAATTATATTTANCTTAAATGCTTCTTTTATTTCCTTTAAAACATTCTAATAAATGGTGCCCTCAAAATTATTGGGTCCTTGGCGGCCGCCCGCTGGCCCTCCCCAGGGCCGGCTTTGGGAAGAGGTCCTGTCGTGCATTATTTTTTGAATTATTTCCCCCTTTTCAAAAGGCTCTATTGGTTCATTGCATATAACATGGTCAACTCACGCTGTTTAGTTTATTCGTAATTAACTATCATACCAAGGGGTAATATTGGGATAAAATTACATCTCTCTTTTATTAAAAACTCCCAAATCTCGTCGAATTTTCTCCTCCCCACAAATCCCTATCTGCCGTTTTGCGCCTTCTCCGCCAAGCGCCGGGGAAGCCCCGCCCTACCGCCGCCTCAAGAGTTTTGCTCTTCCCAAAAATTCACCGCCGATCATCCCAGCCTTCGCTCTCTCTTCGGATCGGAGCCTAACTTTCAATTCCCCCATACTTTTTCCGGTTCTTCGCTAGTTTTTTCAGCCACGATGTATTTCTTTGCTTTGTAGAGCTCTCTCTCATCTCACAGTTCGTCTCAGATCCCGTAGGTTTTATTAATGTATTATTCAATTTCGTACAATTCGTTGTTATGGCTACACGGTTCACCGTCACCCACTCGGCCTCCATGGCCGCAAACCTCTCTGCCGCCTCCGGCAAAGGCGGCGCCTCGCGGTTGTTTCACGGTATCTCAAAGCGATCGCGGATTTTCCAACACCCGTTGTTGGGAAAACCCGACCCGAGTTATTCCGGATTCTCCCGCCCTGGATTGGCGACTGATTTCAGAAGACCGATGCCGTTTGCTCAGGCGATTCTGTCTGGGGAAATTGTTGGAGGAAGGAGTCAGTCGCCAGTTATCGTCGGGTTACTCTCTCTGCTGAAGCAATCAATTGGGTCTTCTGGGGTTTCTTCTGTTCAGGCGTCCTCAACCCTTCCTTTCATTCATGGTTCTAACTGGTTGCCATATAAAGGGCCCGCTAGCGCAGAGGTGGACAGGGGAAAGGCACTTTCTGGTACCGAATCAGAGAGTCTGAGCAAAGGAACTTTGGAGACTCAGATTGCTAGTGGTGGTGGCCGTAAATGTTCTGAAGCATTGGCGGCCATCAAGAGTGATTGTGCAAGTGCAAGTAGTGTGAAGGTTTTGCATCAGAAACGTGGTGGTAGTAAGTCTGATAATAGTTGGCCTTTGAAAATGTTGAACTTCTGTTTTACCTCTGAGGATGCTAAGGCGGCTTTCACTGCCGTCAGTGTTGGCATTTTGTTCAAATCAACTTTGGCGGAGCCGAAGTCGATTCCCTCAATGTCTATGTACCCGACACTTAATGTGGGTGATAGGATTCTGGCTGAGAAGGTATGCTCTTGATTAACTTGATTTCTTTTGTTTACCTTGTAATTTGGGGATTAGTTGTGTGTTTGATTGATATGCTGAGACAAATTCTGTCTATTTTGATTGCGGAGTCATTTGTTTATGGAAGTGGTTTGTATATTGTATGATATTGTTATGAAAGTAAAAGAAACTGTTGACAGTTGTTTCATTGGACTGCTAAATACTTTCATGTTTGTATTGCCAGAATTTGGTGTGGATTACTAAGACCATTGGTTTGCAGAAAAAACCATTTATGTTATGTGTGCATCAGTTGTCCCAAGTATTTGTGCGGTTCTGCAACTTTTATTATGTAGTAACAGGAAAGACAAGTTGTAATCATTCTTCCAGATGACTTGAGTTATAAGATCTGAACCATAGCTTTTTATCTCATGTTATAGATGAGATAAAGTTAAATAGTTGTTAATGTAGACTGACATGCTTCTCACTTAGCATCAAATGCTGATCAAGTTAAATAGTTGTTAACTGTAACAACATGATCCGATTCTAATTGAAAATAATTGCAGTTTATAACTTGTTGATTCCTTTGGTGATAGAATGAGACAGAAAATGGCGTATGATGTGTATGTCATAATCTCAACATTTGTTCTTGGTTTTGTGTGCTTTTCCAGGTTTCTTATGTTTTCAGGAGTCCTGAAGTTTCAGACGTTGTGATTTTCAAGGCTCCTTCATTTCTTCAGGTATTTTTCAAAGAGTCATTGTTAGTATAATACATCGTGTTTTTGTATTCGATCTTGGAGATAACCTGTAAATTATTTTCTCTTGTTATCTTGTATAGGAAGTTGGATTTAGTCCGTCCGAGGTTTTCATCAAAAGAGTAGTAGCAAAAGCTGGTGATTGCGTTGAAGTAAGAAACCTTTTGTGCTTTTTGAATAAATCATTGCTTCATCTTCTCCAATCATGTGTCCAACTTTTATGTTTTGGGCAGGTTCATGGTGGAAAATTGATGGTCAATGGTGTAACTCAAGATGAGGACTTCATCTTGGAGCCAATTGAGTATTTAATGGACCCAATGGTAAATCCTTGTGCTTTTTTTATAACCTTTTAAATTACCGCTTTCAGTTTTGGATTTGAAGAGGGTTTATGGTTTTTATTCTTTTGTAGCTTGTACCGGAGGACTGCGTGTTTGTGTTGGGAGACAACCGAAACAATAGTTTGGACTCTCATAACTGGTAATCTTTGTGCTTACTCACTATACTATAATCCGTCCCTGCAAACTTATTCCTGTTGCTTTCTCTTATGACGGATATTATTTATTATCTGTAGTTCTTCCTTGTAATTAATTATGGGCTATTATGATTAATTACAAAAGATTCGCTTGAGGTCAGAATACTGTGAATTAACTATATCCACATTATGAATTGAACTTAACTTCAAAAATACAAAATCTGAAGGGTTATTGTGATTAAGGGGGTTTCTTGTAATTTGGAAGATATTTAGCATTTAGTTTCTGTTGTTATTAGCCCAAACCTCAATGGTAGTCTTTGAATTACCTGAGAAAAATATTTCTTTTTTGAGTAACACAAAATGGACAGAGTATAAGAATTATAAAGTTCTACGACTGCTGATCAGGTTTGTTGCTTTCTACAGGGGCCCACTGCCTATCGAGTACATTGTTGGTAGATACCTCTTCCGCTACTGGCCTCCTTCAAAAGTATGTGACACTCTTCACAGCACTCCCCAGCAATGGGGTACTGCTGCATTTTCGTGAAAACCCTCCACAACAAACTTCTTTCACTGATTTCTGATTTTTGCCTCAAAAATCTTACTCCCGCCCAACTGGGCTTGATCTTTGTACCTTCTGAATTTTCCCCATCACGACTGCTGCAAATATTCTCTGGCTGGTTTTCAAAATTTCCCCCACATAATCATTCAACTTTTGTTTTGTGGATCTAATCCAATCGAAACCACTCATCCTTCTAAGTATTACTTCGTTTGCTGGTACTCTCGATATTCAATAAGGATATTAGTATTCGGCTGGGATACCATTTTGGCGCGATTGGTTTGAGACTTGAAGTTTAATTTTCAGGTTACCAAGATTTGGGGGGTGATTTTGTGTAATGAATGGTTTATGACAGCATGAATTGCTCTGCATATGATGTAGCAGATGACACTATTCTGGAAATGAAACGAGTTTTTCAATTATTCTTCGTTGGCCTTTTCTGTTCTTGAATCTCATGTGTGTTTCTGGTTGTGGAAAGTTCCTTTTGTATGCTTAAGCCTTCTGTACAACGTAAATTTGTAGAGGATTATATACAAGCATTATAGTCCACCCTAGAGTTGTTAAACAAAATGAGTCATTTGTGAGCCTTAACAAATCGAGCAGATCCACACTAACAAGTGGCTCATTTCACCCTCACACCAACATAAACGAGTTTTGAGGGTGAAATCATGAAACGATTATTCTTTTCATATTAATTATTTTAATTATGACGTAATTTAAAAATACTTCATAGCATCAAATTTAATGGATGCGAATTACTTTATAAGTAATCATATAATACTTATATCAAGTTAATAATACCAAACACATTTCCAAACCAACCTCCATACTTTTTACCAAATATATTTTTGCAAAACAACCTGTACTTATAGTTGGTCAAACACAATTGGTCAAAATAACTATTATATTCCGTTATTTACTAATAGCCAATTGTCCACCAAGACCAATAAATTTGGAAAAACTCATATTTTACATAAGGGTATCCGCATCTATATATATATATAATAAGAATTAACATTTACCATAAATAGTAGTAAGAAAAGTCAAACCACATTCATTATATACTATTTTCAGCAATTTTTTTATTTTATATTTTAATTTTAATTCATTATCAAAAAATTGGATGGTTCCTAAATTAATGGGTTTTAGATGCTTTCAAAAATTATAAAAATATTTAAAATCGGATGGTTCATAAATTAATGTTTACAAACTTTTCAAAGTTGTAATCTTTATGACATCTTTTCTTTTTGACTTTTAATAATAAAATCATTTTAAATATATATATTCTAATCCAAAAATTCAATCATAATAATATATATATATGTAATATACATATATATATATATATATATATATATTGAACGCTAAAAATATTCTTTAAATTTCATACCCAATCTATTAATCTTGAATTTTTTTTTAAATTACTATGTTTATTTTTTATTAATATGCATAAAATAAAAATAAATAATTCATCTTTAGATATATAATTTACAATCTTAATATACTATTATTTGGTGTAGACATATGAATGATAAAATTTTTTTATTTCATAAAATTAAATATTATATCTAAAAAAAATAAGGAAATTACTTTGGATCAATCGGGTGATTGAATTAGGGTATTGCCAACGTTGATTGAATTACTTTTAGGTGATATTTAAAATAGTTAAAAAACTTTGAAACAACTTAGTTGGTCCCAGGTAACTAAGTTATGTATCAGTTTGACCAGACCAAATCGATTATTGAACCTAAATATAAATTTTAATATTGAAAATACTTTATTACGTGAATGTGATGTAGTCCAAACTTTAAATAATCATATTAACAATACTTTTATGACAACATGATTAATGATTTATGTTTTTTATTAATGTACGGTAAATATAAGGTTTTTAGAACCGTACCGTCATCGAAACGATCAAGTTATTTTATTAAATCATTTGTGGTTGTTCAAATTTTAGTACTTTTTGTAATTAATTTAAATAAAAAGTGTTACTTAAATATCTAAACAATTTATAAATTCAAATATTTAAATTAATTGATAAACAATTTATAAATCTCTATTTTATTTAAATATGTAATTTTATTTAAAATTGTTTTTAATGTAACAAAATTTGTTTAGAAAATTGTATCGATCCTACCAATCCACAGACTGGTGTTGAAGATTCGATAGCAAATATTTTATTCAAACGCACTAGACTGGTTATAAACCGGTTCTCGGTCCATCCGGTCATACTGTGTCCAACCCGGTTTAATTTAAAAATAATGGATAAATCATGATTAATGTTATTTATTTATTCAATTTATAATACAATCAAAATATTGTTTTCCCGTGCATCGCACGGGCCACACACTAGTTGGCATTAACGGAAGCTCATCTAAATATGGTTGGCTTGTTCAATCCAATGCCACACGGTCATTTAAATAAAAATGTAATGAGTTACATCTCTGTCATTTAACATATTGAATGCCATACAATGACTATTTAGTATATAAATAATATTGTATTTATATTTTAGGAAATATAAATATAAAAATAAAATATAAGTGAGATAATGGATCCCACACATTTTCATTTAAATGTATCAACCAATGTGAGTTAGTGTTTAAATGAATAAATTTTACTGGAATTATGAAGTGGATGAAAGAGAGAATGCTTTTATTCTTAATGTTGACAACCGACCTGGTCAGCCGGACTTAAAGAAAACTAAACACGGATTAAACTCGGAATAAGGAGAGCTCGACTCAGACCGAACGAAAACCGACTTCACGCCCGGTGGGGCGACCGACTTCTAAGAAACTGAGATCCCTTTCTGAGACCGAGATCAACATCAGATGACAAGGCATCGACATGTGCAACTGCCCAAACCACCCATCACATGTGCCCCAATCATGACCTGCGGGCCTACCTGAAGAATAACTGCCTACGTAAAGTAGCTTTGCATTAAATGCTGTCGTACCAACCTCGAACATCGAGCAAAAAAGTTACTATAAATAGTAGAATTAACTCCTGTACGAGGATCTTTTCCAGACATAAAATACTCACATGCAAAAACAGCTTGATTCATAAAACACCGACTTTCTGTAACTGTTCAGTCTTACAATAATAAAAAAACCACAACGCTTTACAACGTTTTTTGTCCTTAATTACTCAATATTATCTTTGTTAACTCATTCAAACACAAGGTCAATTACATCGAGCCATAACAACAGTTTGACGCTAGAGGAAAGGCTCCATAATATATTTTGAGTTAATCTTCGATCTAGAAAACGTGTGTTACATATCGTTGTCGTTTACCCTTCAAGCGAAAAATTATGTCACAATCAGGACAACATGATCAGACATCAAGGGCTGGCAACAGCCGGGGCGCCGCCCAATCAGCCGGAAGAACCACCACGATGTCGGTGATACCAGACTTTGCTACGCTGTTCCAAAATCCAGGAACTTCTTAGACAATCTGTTGCGCCGTCACCCCGGCAAAGCCACGAACGCCACTGACCTAAGGACGCATCGTTGATGCAGCCACGTCACACACGACTTCGCAACTGCGCGATAACTCGCCACAACCACAAAGGGAGAGGGCTACAGCTCAAATTAATGCCAACTCCCCTAACATCGTAGCTCCATCGGTGGCCATCCTTCAAGAAATGACGGCTGAGAGCCATTCGGGTCATCGTCAAAGGCCCCTAACTACTGTACGACTGTTGTTGCAACAACCCGTGAGACAAATCGACTTGCGCCAGCAAATTGAAAGAAGTCGTTCCGCCAGGCAAGAGTCAGCAGAATTGGAAATCCTGCGAAAGAAAATTGCCAAGTTAGAAACTCGGCAGAAAGCACAAGAAGAATCTCCTCGGAGAACTCCTACTTCAGAACATGTGCATCTGGAAGCCAACTATACCTCATGGATGGAATTATAGTTATATGTTCATAATTTATAATGGGACCTCGGATCCCGATGCCCAATTCGGGCATTATACCTCATGGATGGAATTATAGTTATATGTTCATAATTTATAAATTCATCAATTATATAGTCGAGTTGAGTCAACTATACTACAATATATATTTTTTGTTCATAAAAATTTTAAAAAATATATTACTTTCCCTCTTATGTTGAATTGAAAAAAAAAATATGCAATTTTTTTTAATATGTTTTAACTTATTGTGAATGTATTGTTGTGCTAAAACTTAATAATATATTACGAATGAGAAATATGACAAATTCTGAAAATTATAATTTATAAATTGTAATGACATTATGTTATTTTGATGGTATACTTTTTCTATTAACTAAATATTCCCCCAATATGAAATTATTTTGGATATGCCACTGCAATTAGTTTTTCAATGGAACTTACACTGATTTTCCTTTTTTACAATTACAATGACAGTTTTGTCAACAGTTGAAATACAGTCCAAAAAAAATCAACGAAAATTCACACAACAATAATGGTAATTGAAATCATTAAGAGGATGCTTGGATTTAAAAATTCTGAAAAAAAAAAATCAAGTATTTTTAACTCAACCCTACTATTATCAATATTATCAGTATAATTCAATAATATCAATCAATTATTCTTACACATCACTTCAACTTTAATTCACTATTCATCCACTTACATAATATTAACTAACCATCACTTCAAATCATTTTTTTTCTACTTTTACATCTAATTAACTTTAATTATTTTATTTTAATATTATTTTAATATACCTACTAACAACGCAAGGCTCGTACCTCGGGCGTCGGAAACAAACCACTTTGGGAAAAAAAGTTTTTCTTTTAGGAAAAGGATTCAGGAAAACAGGAGTCAAAATGCAAGTACAATAAAAATTCAGCTATCCAGAAAAATTTTCATCTATTTTGTATCATTTTGGCGGGATTTCAGACTTATTTTTTGAGCTTTGATTGGTCTTGCTTTGAGTCTTGCTGGGATGATGCCGCCACATTTTGCACTCTTATGAACCGGGTATGTAAGCCTTTCTTGGACAAGTTTGCTATTAACATAGCGCCTGGGGTGGTGGTGATTTAGTAGCAGTCGGCGGCAAGGTGGCATGGGATAATTCATAGATCTTTGGGCTTTGATTATCAAAAAATATGATTAGCTTTTCGGGAAATTTCCAAACGAACGATAAAGGCGCAGTGGGCCCTCTTTCTGTGATGAGAGGATAAAAAAGAAGAAATTAAATAAAATAACATATGAAAAGCCCCTTTCGCTTCAACTGTTCTGGAGCTAAAGAAGAGAAATCATCTAATTAACTTTAATTATTTTATTTTAATATTATTTTAATATACCTACTAACAACTAATTATATCACATTTTTCAAAATTAACCAAACTAAAGTAAAATATCCAAACAAAATAAAAAAAATTTATGTCTATTAAAATTCCAATGTAATTTAATTTGATATTTGTTGAAATAAACAATGAAATTTTCAAATGAAATTGTAGAACCCCATTGTAAAATTCTCGTATATCCAGAATCCGCCTCTATGAGTTTTTCCTTTTTCTTAATAGCTATTTTTGTAAAAAATAATCTTATAGGTAATTTTTATTTAAAAATAATTTTTCTATGTGATTTTTTGTTAATTAGATAAGATAATTTTAATTTTTTATTTATATATTTCATCAAATATACATTAAAATATAAAATATACCAAACAAGTATATATATAAAGTGTGTGTGGGTGTGATATTAGATAACAAATTCAATCAAACAGTTAAAAAAGTATTAGTAAACTAATTTAACGAGGGAAAATATTTGTAAAATATTTCTAAGCATACAATGTTTCGAACTAGCTTCTTGTAAAAAAATATTTTATGTTTTCCTAAAGTAATTTTAATGTTTTAGATAAGAAAGCTATTGTTTCGGCTTATTTTACATATATGTATTTTAATACTCTTATGTATATGAATTGTCAATTTGCAAGTAATTTATTATTTTTCTCAATCGCATATAAAAAAAAATATGTACTTTAATATTTATATATGTGTATGAATTATCAAGTTATAATTAATTTATTTTTCTTTTGATCATAAATGAAATATTAACTTATGTATTACAATATTTTTACGTAAACGTATTATCATTTGAACCTATTATTTGTTTTTTTACTTGTACGGATAATTACTTTATGAGCATCTCAATGTATTTAATTAGTTTAGCTCGTGTATTTTAATTTTCAAATTTCGATTAATATTTCTCATGTACAGATAATTCTACTTTGCGATTTTTACTCGTGTAATGAATAATTAACTTTATTACATTTATTTCCAATTAAATTTATAATATAATAATATGATTTAATTTGTGTAAAATATGTGTGTGGTAATGAATAGTCGTAAAAATTGATGTGAAGGAGAATATTTCGAGTTTACTATAGTGAATTTGAGAACGAGTTTTTCAACTGAATTACTACTTAATGTGTTAGTTGCTGCAAAAATGTATTGAAAATTAGTTTTTTAGTTGGAGATGACCTTATCCATGGGTATTGTATATGTTCTTGGTAGAGACATTTATCTCAAACTTAATTTTGTTTTTTAGAATATACCATTTTAATTTGAAAATAATAATTACATATTAAAACTAGGGAGCTTTCTTTAAAAATCTCTAATCCTAATTCAATCTTCCAAGTCAGTCCCTAGTAATAATTTCTATTTGTTTTACTCCCTACCCCCATATTAATCTTTCATTTAAATCCCTCCTATTAAATTAAATCACAAAGAATTTGTTATATGACATCATCCCACTATCTTTCATTATTTTATTCTTTTTGTTTACCTAAAAGATTTCTTCCTCACTCTTCTTCCCTACTCTTCTTCTCCTCTCCCGCGTTTTTCTTCTTCATCGCTGCTGTCTTTATTATTATTTTTTTTTGCAGCTTCATCTCGCGGGAGAATACAAACCGGACACTTGGGCTTTTATCGGATGCAACAAATCCGGCGACCTTAGGGCTTTTTCCGGCCGAAAATTCTTGTTTCTCCGGCAAAAAATTCATACTTCTCTGTCCGAAAGTTTCTATTTTTCCGGCAAGATTGTGGCTTTTTTCGGCGAAAACTTGAAGTAATAAGTAATGTATGTATTATATGAGAACTTTGGAGTCCAAAAATCATCTTTAATTCATGTATTTTTGTTTGATTTGTGAAGGAATTGAATATTGTTGTTTATATTTACCCTAAAACAAATAAAGTGATTATAATCCTTTTTTTGTTCATGTATACTAAATTTATGCTATTCTTAGGTTATATTAGGTGTTATTGACCATAAAACAAAAAAATAAGATGAGAATAATCATAGTACCACTATTCATGATTGTGTGTACCTCTGTTTGGATATATAGTACCACTTTGCTCACTGTTGGTATCATCTGTGTTGGGAAATGTGAACATTATTCTTTTTCAATCCAATTATTGTTAGATACATGGAAGGGGCACAAAAATTCCTATCTCTCTGTCCGAAAATTCTTATTTTTCCGGCAAGATTGTGACTTTTTCCGGCGAAAACTTCAAGTAGTAAGTAATGTATGTATTATATGTGAAGTTTGGAGTCCAAAAATCATCTTTAATTCATATATTTTTGTTTGATTTGTGAAGGATTTAATTTTGAATATTGTTGTTTATATTTACCCTAAAACAAATAATGTGATCATAATCCTTTTTTTTTTGTTCATGTATACTAAATTTATGCTATTGTTAGGTTATGTTAGGTGTTATTGAACATAAAACAAAAAAAAAAATAAGATGAGAATAATCATAGTACCACTATTCATGATTGTGTGTACCTCTATTTGGATATAGAGGAAATTACATCCTCCACTACATATTAACATTTTTATTACACATTTAAAACTCATATATATTTATTTGCAAATTAACTAAAATTATAATTTTTATTTACAAATATACTAGACTATTGATTAACAGATAATTATTGTTAATTATGGTAAAAATAGATTTAATGGGATTCTCTCTCTCCCTATCTATTTTCTTCTTCTCTCTCCCTCTCTCTTATCATCTTCTTCTTCTACAGATCCGCCGATGTTCTCCTCCCCAGTGATGATGCGCTTCGTAAATTCGCACAATTTCATCCGTGCTCAAGGGCAAAACGACTCCACCACTAAAAGCCCTAAGGTTTTCCTCTCTCTCCTTCACCATGGCTTGGAATCGATTGAGGATTAGGGGCGGCAGTGGCTTCATCCCAACACCATCGCCATGGATTTGCAGTGTTTATTTTCGTTTTCATTTTATCTTTTTTCCTGATTTGAATGTGATGCGAAGAGGGTCCCACGAGAGAGCTATTGACGGATTACGAAAACTTCAAGTCTGGTAATTTCGTTTTCGTTTTCCTCCATTGTTGTTGTTTGGTTCGATAATATTAAGATTCAAGTCTGGTAATTTTTTTTTCTTGTTTACTAATTACCAGGCATTTGGAGAACCAGAAGAAAAGAAAAAGAAACTAATGTTTGTGAAATATTTCATTAGATTTCTTCTGGCAACTAGAGATTTCCTCTTCTGTATGCAGTATCGCATGAGCATCCCTATTTCCAATTCTTGTACTAGTTTGATTATTCATCAAATTGGAAGAGATAATTCACCTGAAAATATTTCAGTTTTTCCTCCTCTAATTTGCTTTTCATTGATTCTATCTCTTTCTATTTGAAATTCACACCGTTCAGTAAGGTATCTTTTGCGGGTTGTGGGGCAAGCTCAAGCTTCTCGACGGGAAAGCGCCGGTATATTGATCAAGATGGCCAGCTGGATAATTGTCCTCTTGAAGTCGCCTCAGGTTAATTTCCTAATTTTCCTTCTATTTTTCTTTTTCCTTTTTCAAGATAATGATGTTGATTTGAAATTGAAAATATGCAGAACAGAAGGCAGCCAAGTCTTTTTAACAACCAATTCGGAGGATAAACGTGAACGGACGCCGGCGGTGGTTCGCGGCGGTTGCAAACCTCGCGTGTTCGGTGACTCGCGGATGAAGATTCTCGGCTATGGCTGCGTGTGTCGTAGATGTTAATTAGTTCAAGTTTGAAATTGAAATTAGCGAAGAAGAAGACGAAGAGGCTGAGCGTGGTCAAAACACCCGAGGCCCTGAAGAAGAAGAAAATCATGACATCTTTTTTGAGAATTTTTTCATTTGATTATTTTGGAGTATATGTTCAGTATATCTATAGTATATGTATAGTATATGTTTACGTAGTATACGTAGTATATGTGGTGTGTATAGGGAGTATATGTTCAGTATATTAAAAGATTTTTTTTTTAAAATTGTTCAGTATATGTAGTGTGTTTTTGTCAGAAGGCTGAGCTCGATTTGTTTTGTTTATCTTATGCTCTATTAGATTCTCCTAGTGGTACACAAGGGATGAGTTTTGTGGTCAGTGTACTCATCAAGGTTTTTGCTTCAAATGGGTTTTTTGAAAATTCAATGGATGCGTTTGCACAGGCTAGAAGAGTTGGCTATGAACTGGGAATACGCTCGTGCAATTTCTTGCTTAAATGCTTGGCAGAAGCCAATGAAAGGGAGATCCTTTTTTTTTTGTGGTATATTTGCGTATCTTTTCTTAAGAAAAAGATCGATTGCACCTCTATTGCTTGTGCTGTGTTGTGGTATATAAACAGTATATGATGAGTATATGTACAATATATGTTAAATATATAGTTTTTTTAATATGTTTTGACGGAAAATTTCTTAGAGGATAATCGCCGAACACTTGGTGTGCTTGATTTGTTGATAGATAGTTCTATTTTGTACATATTGCGGGTATACGTTGTGGGTACATAGAGTATATTTTCAGTATATGTTTCGATATAAAATTTTGTATGTTTTCGGGTATGAAAATTATGTATATGTTTTATATGTTACCATAAGATATGAAAATTTACATGTTGCGGGTATATACCAAAGTTGTACAACATACATATAAATAAAATATACATAAAGTATACATATAATACACACTCGAGATTCTTGTAATTCAAGTCAGCGACACCATATATACATAAAATATACTTTAAATATACACTCGAATTTCAATAATTTCTCAAAATCGATTTCAGAACACACATATACATAAAATATACCTAAGATATACATAAAACATAAAGTCTAGTTGGTCATCTTTTCTTTCTTTTTCGCCGTATTTTTTTTTCTTGTAAAATCTTGACTTCCAAGGGCTTGTGGCCGGAAAAACCCGTGCCTTGGAACATGGCCTTTGTCGCACAAGAAGCAGACGCACCTATCTTGGTTGAGGGCTGCAAAATCACGTAAATATACCTCCATAAACGCAATAATTCGAGAAGCATGGGTATTCTATAGTTATTGTAGATTAATAATCGCCCATGAATCTATTGTTTCTACAGTATATGTTTCGTGAATTTTTCTTGCTGGAAACTCCGATCGATCCCCTTTCAGTTTTTTTTTTTTTTTCCCAAATACCTGGCCGGGGACGAAGCCCCATCACGGCCGTCCTCAATCGTATTGTAATCGTTCATGAACGGCGTCGCCCGACCGTCGATCCGATTCGCCGTCGAATAGAACATCCGAGAAGCCTGATTTCCCAATTTGTCCTCAAAAAAGTTGAAGTGCAAATTCTCGTTCACGACGTCCCAGTGGATGAGCTACCCCCTGTAACGGCCCACCACATTTAACTTGGTCTAAGATGCATTTCAAATGAAGATTGAGATTTTTTTTTTTTTTTTTTTTTTTTTTTTCTTTCTGGTAACTATGCGGAAATCACGCAAAAGATGTGGAATGAAGGCTAATTGATATTTAGGCAATCCCACAATTATTTTTGGTCTATTAGGTAAATACCAAATTATTTATCATTGAATGGTAATCACGAAATTTTTTTAATTTCGTGCAGTATATATAAAAATTTTCCTTGGATATATAGTACCACTTTGCTCACTGTTGGTACTATATGTGCTGGGAAATGTGAACTTGTTTTTTTTTTTTTTTTTTTTTTGTTTTTTTTTAATTCAATTATTGTTAGATACATGAAAGGGGCACAAAGTGATATATTAGGGAGTTGTACATACAAAGATGAAATGTATGTGTTCTCTCTGAACCTTGAATCAACTCTTGACGAAGTGTACACTCTCATTGCTAAGAGGTGGCCGATTGTTAGTTTGGAAACCTTCATGTTAAACTATATTGTGCCAAAGGAAAAAAAAGAGAATTAGTTTGTCCGATGATGAGGATGTACAAAATATGATTCGGTTACATCTTTGTTGGAAAGTAAATATTGTAGATATAGTTGCCATTGAAAGAAATGAAAGCCTGGGCACTAGAAGAAATGAAAGACGGGATGATGGAGTTCAATCTATGTCGTTGAACATGAGCGGGTAATGTTGCTTTCATAATATTAATGAATTTATTATTGATATATAGTGTATTTGTATCATCATATCCTAATTCATTAATTTCTTAACTAGTTCCGTTATTTATAAAAATTTGTATTATTTTATCATGAACGCAGGGAAATGTTACGGGAAGGAGAATCGGAGTTGGTAGTGCAAGATAAATCGATCGATTCTTGGAGATTCTCCATCAAAGGAGAGGGGCAGATGTTCAGTGGCAGCGCTGATGAATTTCGAAAGGTTGTTAAAAACTACGCAATTGCGAATAGGCGTTCTTTCAAGTACCGAAAAAATGATCAACAGAAGATCATTGTTTGTTGTACTGATGAGGGTTGTCAATGGAGAATATATGCCTCAAAATACAAAGGTTATCAGGTCTTTGTCATCCGGAAGAGAAATTTAGTCCATACATGTGGAGTGTCCAATCTTCGGACAAGGAGACATCCGAAAGCAGACTCTCATTGAGTCTCGAATGCAATTAAGGAGAAAAATTGAGAGATGAACCGAGCTACAGGCCATGCACGATATTGAAAGATCTTCATAGGGATTATGGCTTGGAGTTGCCTTATAGAAAGGCATGGTTAGGGAAGGATATTGCCATGCAAGATATTCATGGAGCACACAAGGGCTCTTATGATAAATTGAGATGGTATTGTACTAAAGTGCGTGAGATAAACCCGGGAAGCATTGCGGATTGTGAGCTTGACCCTGTCCAGAATAAGTTCCGCCGATTGTTCATTTGCTTTCATGCTTGTCTTGTTGGTTTTATAACCGGTTGTCGACCGTTGATATTTTTGGATGGCACTCACATAAAAAATAAATTCAAAGGCATTTTTCTTAGTGCTGTGAGTAAGGATGCCAATGATGATTTGTTCACTTTAGCATATGCTGTGGTTGATGCCGAGACTGATGAAAATTGAGAGTGGTTTTGCGTGAAGCTGAATAATACTCTTCTTACATCGGGCTTAGCTGTTCCTAGAAGCTTCACGTTTTTTGCGGACCCACACAACGGGCTTCTTAAAGCCATCCCTATGGTCTTTCCTGGCAACCATCATGTTTATTGTTTGAGACACTTAGTCGACAACTTTAAGAATCAGGTAAAAAACTTAATTAGTCTGTTTATATTTATATTTAATTTATCACTTATTATTCATAATAAAGCAGGTTTTGATATTCTTTTGATTTCTACCTTTTTTATTTTTAAATGTTGTTGATTCTTGTGGTGTATTGTTGTTAATATTGATGTTTTGGTTGTTTGGTCTTTCAATGTATGAGTGTGGTTTTTGTTACTTACTTGATTGGTACCTTTTTTTTTTGTTGACCATAAGTAAGTGTATAAACCATCATTCCTTGACATTCTGTTTATCATTGTTTGCCGTATAAATTACGTTTATTTCATTAGGGCTATGTTTTCATTATCATTATTATCATGCTATGTACATTTTGTTTATACATTTTGTTAGTTTTTTATTTTTATAAATTCTGTTTATTTTCATTATAAAGCAGGTTTCATTATTATTATTATTATTATTATTATTATTATTTTGTAGGTTTTGAAGAGCTACCCACTTAATAATAAGAAACATTGGTCCTCAATTTTTAAGAAAGCTGCGTATTCTCCTACGAGGCAAGAATTTGATATGCATATAAATAATATATTGACTCATATGCCTCTTGCTCTAAAGTTCCTTCAGGATTCTAACCCAAATTGTTGGGCAAATTATTTATTTACCGGAGACCGTTGGGGGATCATGAATAATAATCAAGCGGAATGTTGGAATAATTAGGTGAGGGCGGCACGATTTATGCCTATCGTAGCCATGGTCGATCACATACGGAAGCAAATTATGACCATGATGCACGATCGACGTGAAGGAGGGTCAAGGTTTAATGGCCTGTTGTGTCCGAAGCTCGAAAAAATAATTTCATCTCGCTACAATGCTTCCCGGAGTCTCAAAGTCATGCAAATCAAGTGAATGGAGGTTTGAGGTTGTTGATGCGAACAAAAATTGTGACGTGGATTTGCAAACTCGCTCTTGCTCTTGTAGAGAATGGCAACTATCTAAGATGCCATGTCACTATGCATGTGCTTGTGTTGAGAGTAAGTCAATGTCCATCTATGATTTTTGTGATCCATATTATCGGGTTGGGATGTATAGGCAAGCTTATCAAGGTACTATTAATCCTATACCCAACTACGATTATAATGTGGCCTCTTCCTCGATATATCATGATGATGTCATTCATGCTCCGGATGTACGACCTCAGCCCGGACGCAGGAGGGCAAAAGAATTCCTTCACAAGTTGATGTTGCGGTTAGGCGGTGCAAGCGTTGTGATCGTCGTGGACACAATCGACGTACGTGCAAAGAACCTATCTAGATCACTCATGTATTTTGTTTTTTGGGCATGTGTATTTTTTTTTTTTTGTTGCCCAAGTGTATTTTGTTGCTGCCCAGATGTATTTTGTATTTTGTCAGTTGTATTTGGTATTTTGTCGGAGAATGTCTTTTGATCAATTAGTACCAGTTATTGATGAATTAGTACCACTTATTCTTCTATTCAGTGCCAGTTATTGATCAATTAGTACCTTCTTTGTAGAAAGAACAAAAAAAGGGATACTTCAAATTTGGTCAACATTTTCAAAATTAGTACC